GCCTCTCACCTTGACAGGAAGGGCGGGCTACACGACCCTGCGCTGACCCGAGGTGGCGCCCGGGTGTGTTCCTCACTGACACGTGACGGAGCCGCGGCACACACAGCGCTCATCTCAGATTCGCAGCACGAAGGCCCTGCTGGGCACCGAACGACGGCATTCTGGCTTGCAGGCCAAAGGTCGTCCGGTCCGCCCTCCAGCGGCGCGGCTAGGATTAAACGGGCGCGCCCCGCCAGGACTGGTCTGTCCGTGTCTCATCACTCAGGATCCGGTCCATTCCTCGTCTCCCAGAACCCGGTCCACTGCTCGCCGCCCAGGACCCGGTCTATTCCTAGCCGCCCAGGGCCCGGTTCATTCCTCGTCTCCCAGGACCCGGTCCATTCCTCGCCACCCAGGACCCGGTCTATTCCTCGCCACCCAGGACCCGGTCTATTCCTCGTCTCCCAGGACCCGGTCCATTCCTCGCCACCCAGGACTCGATCCGCCCCTCGTCTCCCAGGACCCGGTCCGTCCCCCGTCTCCCAGGACCCTGTCCGTCCTTCGTCTCCCAGGACCCGGTCCGTCCCTCGTCTCCCAGGACCCTGTCCGTCCTTCGTCTCTCAGGACCCGGTCCGTCCCTCGTCTCCCAGGACCCGGTCCGTCCCTCGTCTCCCAGGACCCTGTCCGTCCCTCGTCTCCCAGGACCCTGTCCGTCCCTCGTCTCCCAGGACCCGGTCCGTCCCTCGTCTCCCAGGACCCGGTCCGTTTCGCCGTCTCCCTACACCCGGTCCGTCCCTCGTCTTCTTGTATTTGATCCGTATCTTGTCTTCCAGCCCCTCCAGTTACAGGGACCCGGTCCGTCCCTCGTCTCCCAGGACCCTGTCCGTCCCTCATCTCCCAGGACCCGGTCCGTCCCTCGTCTTCTTGTATTCGGTCCGTATCTTATCTTCCAGCCCCTCCAGTTACAGGGACCCGGTCCGTCCCTCGTCTCCCAGGACCCTGTCCGTCCCTCGTCTCCCAGGACCCGGTCCGTCCCTCGTCTTCTTGTATTTGGTCCGTATCTTATCGTCCAGCCCCTCCAGTTCCAGGGACCCCGGTCCGTCCCTCGTCTCCCAGAACCGGTCCGTCCCTTGTCTCCCTGTGCCCGGTGTGTCCCCCGCCTTCCTGCACCCGATCCATCTCCCGTCTCCCTGCACCCAGTTCGTCGTCTCCCTGCACCCGGTCCGTCGGCTCCTTGGAACCTTATGTCCCCGCGCCCGGATTTTGTTCTTGAATACACTGAAATGAACTGAAAGCATATTTCAGCCAAATGTGATTACAATGAAAACAAATGTGAGTCACACATTACGTTGGCGATGTGCAACAGCAGCTGCCGCCGTAGGCAATTGGCAAAAATGCATCACATTGGATACATTCCTCGGCAATCAGGTGCGGAATAAACTTAAAAACTGAAATAAAATGCAAACTGTGCCTTCGGCCTGACTGGCTAGCTGTGCAGTTTTGGACAACTGCGAATGGGCACGATATGGAAAGCCTCAACTTGTCATGTGTTTATATGTGTCTCCAGAACTTGCAGCACCAACGTGATTTCAAGAGCAAGTCTTCATAAACACTGATTACCTTTATCGGAATCTTATTTACACTTAAAACTGCAATGGAATGAATCCATGCCTGAGTGGTAGCACCTACACTTAACTGATTACGGGAGGTCACATGATGTAGAGATGTTTAGGCTCCAGCACCATGAGCGGCGCCGTTCAGCCTGGTGCGGAGTTCGGGGCGCCGCCACCAGATGGCAACAGGAGCAGTGACCGCTGCGGCCGACAGGCGGCGTCCAGGGTTGGACATGGCTGTGTCGTGTCATCGGGGCTTTACGACGCACTCAGCAACTGAAGCTATATGGCGTCGCCTGGCTCTCACCCTGGCAGGAAGGGCGGGCGCCGCGGGGAATCGTTTGGCGTATATATTGGGCGCTCCGCCACGCGGTCCCTCTGGGGCAGGTCCTTGGGTGTTGGCTTTAAGATGGTTACGATCTTTTGGGGGTGGAGATCAGTCTTACTTTATTTGGTATTTACTGAATAATGGATCATTCAAAGTGCGCGTAGCGTTAGAATGCGTCAGGTAATCCGCATCTATAATACAAACGCGTGATGATGTAAGGTTTCTTTCCTTCGTTCGTGCGGGTGCCGAGACTGCTCTACGGTGAACGAATGCCCAGCCCGCCGGGCCACATGCAGTAAGCGTGTGGTAAGCCGCACGTAAGCTCGTGTGTGACGTTTGGAGCCCGTCGCGCCGACGCATTAGGCCTGCGTGCCGCTGCGGGTCGGCAGCACCGCACTCGCATGGCGGCACATTACGTGCGCCACAGCCGATGGTCAAGGGTCACAGTGTCCACGCTCTCGTACAACGAACACAGCACCGTCGGCCAGCTGCTACTGGTTAAATACATAAAGATACACATATATCAGGCCAAGAAAGAACCACAAGGGCCCATCGAGGTCGGCCTACCCCAGGTTCCGCACCCATTCTCTGCACTAATCTTACCACGACCTGCCTGAATTTAGCTATAATTGGGATCCTTAGACCGATAGAGCCTGTCCCAACGATTTTTCAGTGTTGCTACGGAGGAACATCCAACAGCTTCTTTTGGCAGCCCATTCCAATGATTTACTACCCTTTGACTAAATGATATCTGCCTCCTCACGTCTCTACTCATGCCTTTCACTAATATCTATATCTATATATATATATATATATATATATATATATATATATATATATATATATATATATATAATACATATGTTAATATATATAAAACACATAATATACACAGTCAAAGTTGCCAATCCCACTTTCTCATCCTGGTAGCTTTTCACTATATTCTTTCCAGTCTATCTGTATCATTTTGGAAGAATGGGTACCAAGACCGCGCACAATACTCTAGGTGTGGTCTGACATAAGCTAAGTTCAGCCTCTTTGACAATATTCCTGCTCTTGTAATGGCATTCCTGTCAATAATTCCCAGCATCCCGACTGCCTTGTTCCAAGCAGCCCCGTATTGTTTTTTCAGCCTTTAAACTCCTGAAAATTATAACCCGTAGGTCCCTTCCGCCCTTGATTTGATTCAACTTTCGGCCTCGCATAACATAGCTAATGTCCTCACCATCAGAACTACCCACATACATCACCTCACACTTATCATAATTAGATGATGTCTGCTACAGATACGTTACGTTACGCATGAATATACCTTACGCTACAAACCTTGCATGGCTGTAGGCAATTTGAAAGGCGATTTTTTACATAAAAATGGTATGTACCTTGTAAGGTCGCTGACGTATGGCAGGTCAAAGTCAGGCCGCAGCTGTCAGCGAAGGCCATTTCTAGGGAATTTCTACGGAAGTTCAGTCTGATGCGACAGCGGAGTGTTAGACGAGGTCATTCATCTCTGAGATAGTTCCTTAAGCAAAATATCAACTAAATCTAGAATAGCGCATTACATTGACCTAAGGTCAGGTACGAAGTTCAAAAGGAGGTCAAAACTAACCTCGGTTGCGAACGGTATTCAACCGGTCGCCCGGGCGCGTGTTAATGCTGTAGAGTGAATGAGCTGAGATGTGCACGGTATTACATCCGCAGCATTAGAAAACCATGACAGCGCCCCTATTATCAACATCCATCAACTGACGTTGATGGGCGCCGGTCCATCTATTGTGGCGCGTCGGAGCGGGAGGGTAGCGCTCGTCTGTGTGGGCTACTCGTCCAGCCAGAGCGCGGCGGAACACTGGGCAGTCAGACCCAGCCCTGGCTCGGGCCAACGTCCGCCGGGCGCGGCACGTGCCAGCTCCCCGCCCCCCCCCCCCCCATCAGCAGGGCCCACAGGGGGTGTTGGTACGTGGCACCGACCCCAGGGGTGCGGTATTCGCGTATGCTTACGCATACTGATTCTACCGATTCCCGCAACCGTGTGACATACGTGCAAGGCGAAAAGTGCGCCTCCTGTCCCATCACTCCTCGCAGCTGCGTCAAACAAGACAGACGGCACCTCACGGCCGCCCGCCCGCCAGCCTGACACCTAGCGGCGCCGGCGTCTGTCGCGCCGCTACAGCCTCCTACCTTGACGGGGATGTGGCTGGTCCGGGCGGCGTTGGCCTCCCTCAGCACGGCAGCCGGCTCCTCGCTGACAGGCTGCAGGTGTGGTCGCGGTCGCGGCACCACCGCCTGCACCACCCGGGTGCGGGGTCGCACGTTCTGCACCAGCGACGGCACCGGCGCATCGTGGATGTAGCGCGCCACGGGGCTGACGATGTCCTGCCGAGCGGCGCGTCAGATCAGGTCAGGTCAGGTCAGGTCAGATCAGATCAGGTCAGGTCAGACGGCCACCGCCGGCTGACGGCAGGATGGGGACGTAACGCGCAAAGACGGAGCACCGCTGGACTACCGCGCACCCTACTCGTATTCCCAAGCACAGGCGCCAACATAAGCCACGCCCCGCCGTAAATGTCGACTGGCGGCAGGAGTGACGCCACTCCAAGACCGACAGCGCCAGCGTCTGGACGTAGCCCCACATGGCCACAGACCCCGAGACCGTCCCAGTCCAGCGTCGACACTCACCGCCAGCTGGGGCCGGGAGCGCGGGGTGGAGGGCGGCGCCAGGGTCGGCGTGCGGACAGCGCGGGCCGGCGAGGGCGCGGCCGCGCGGCCCCGCGGCGTCGGCAGGCCGCTGTTCGCGCGGCCGCGCGGCGTCAGCAGCCGGCCGGGCGAGCGGCCCGCCGTTGGCCGTCTCTGACTGCCGGGCGCCGCTGGCACGCCGCGGCCGACCGGCGTGCGCGCCTGCCGCCCTGTCTGCCGCGGCTCGGCCTGCACGGCCGGCGGCGGCTCCCGCAGCGCAGCGGCACCGCTGTCCTGCGGCGGGCCGGTGTCGTCGCCGGCGGCAGCGCGACTCTGCAGGATCGTCTCCAGCCGGCGCTCCTCGGCCTCCATGGCCAACAGGCGCTCCATCATCTCCAGCGTGTCGTTCATCTCGCTCTGTGAGCCGGACCGTTCGCTGCCGCCGGCCAGGCTCAGCTCGCTGTCCGTGGCCAGCTCCGACACCGAGCCGGCCAGTGATGGCCGGTGGCTGACGTTGTCGCTGGTCGTGTTGTCCGCCGCCGGGCCCGTCCGCCGCTCGCCGCCGGCGCCCGCAGCCAGCGACACGTCTGGCCCCTCCAGAGTCGACTCGTACAGCACCGAGCCGGAGCTGGAGTCGGCGGCCAGCCAGCTGTTGGGCGGCGCGGCCGGCGCCAGCGAGAGCTCCGACAGCCCCGTCAGCCGACGGCTGGTGTCTCGGCTTGCGCCCTCTGCGCAGGTGTAGTACGAGTCCACAGACTGGCCGGACGGCGATGCCATCTGCTGCTCCATGGCTTGCAGCAGGCCGCCGCCGCAGCTGCCGTGATCGTCCGACGGCGATCCGGGTGCCAGCGGGCCGGCGGAAGAGCCAGCCAGCTCGTCATGAAGCGCCCCCAACAGAGAGTCGGCGGGGGCCAGCGAGCCGGCCGCCTCGCGACGTTCGTCCAGCGAGCCAGCCGTCTCACGACGCTCGTCCAGCGAGACGGCCGTCTCGCGTCGCTCGTCCAGCGAGTCGCCCGGCACGGTGATCGAGACATCAGACAGCAGAGTGCGCCAGGCGCTCGCGTTCTCCGTTGGCAGCTCCTCCCACTGACTTTCCTCCACAACAGCCAGTGACTGTTCGGTGGGCATCTCCTCCCACCGCCGCTCCTCGGCGCCGGCCAGCGACTGATGTGCCGATGACTCCTCCCCAACAGCCAGTGACTGCTCCGTCGGTAGCTCTTCCCACTGCCTCTCCTCTGTGCCGGCCAGCGAGTGCTCGGTGGGCATCTCCTGCCATCGCCGCTCCTCTGTGCCAGCCAGCGGCTGCTCGGTGGCCAGCTCCTCCCATCGTCGGCTACTGCTGTCCTCGCTGGAGGCCAGGGGCGCCACCGACTCCTCCAGACGACTGCTGGTCACCGGATATCTGCAGGCAGGTCAGCACAAATCAGACAGCCGCTGGAGGCCAGGGGCGCCACCGACTCCTCCAGACGACTGCTGGTCACCGGATATCTGCAGGCAGGTCAGCACAAATCAGACAGTCGCTGAAGGCCAGGGGCGCCACCGACTCCTCCAGACGACCTGCTGGTCACCGGATATCTGCAGGCAGGTCAGCACAAATCAGACAGCATCTCACAAAAACGTGGGATTGGCTCATTTGGGGCAGCTTGGAACAACATCGCGATGGAAGACATTGGCAATCTCCATAACTGAGGCACAGAAAGCAACATATCTGCATTTGTTCAGGATGGACGTTCAGGGTGTATCTAGCATGCCGGCGATGGCAGCTGATGATACCGCCTCCGAACCAGATAGCATTTCTCCTTTAGTCGGAATGGAAGACATTTCAGCTGCAGTCCGTCACGTATGATGATACTTGGGTTCAGAGACGCTTCGATCGCAGCGGGCATGCGGCGTCCGTACGTTGATAACCTCGCCACAGCTAACGACACGATCTATGTTTAGTTTCACTGTCTTGTCTCATCACATTGCCAGAACGCATGCGTGACAGGCACAAAACGTCGCACATGCAGAGAAGACGCCAGTGTCATGTTGTCTTTGTTTCACTACCGAACGACGTCATCATGAGCCCGACGTATCCGCGTCTCATCCAAATTACGAACGACCCGCAAAAGAACAGCAGCCCAAGAGCAACTGAGTAATTTCAGAAATATAATATTTTCAAGAGCATTGTAGAGCAAAAACAGCGTTCGCTTTTCATTGGTGGGATCGGAGACTTCAAGGCCACTTCAAAGTACCCCTGGTACTCCGTGGACAGCGGGTGATAACGAGTACATTGTTCTATGTTTAACAGTTTGGTCGCGTACCATCAACGTCCCGTGCAGGTAATGTTCACGGGCCATATCCTCCCAGTCTGTGATGGTGATGATTTTCGTTTTGGCGTACATCAACGACGATCATCATTGCGCGCCCATCCCAGTTTGTAAAAAATTGAATTGGGATCTTATGCTGTCTGTTTCGTCTCTTTGGGAAGTCGCAACTCTGTCGTTGCAGGGCAAGCCAAATGCTTGCGGGCCATTGGTTGTCCAAATAACGATCCGGTGTCAGATCGGGTGCGTAAAGCAACCGGAAAAAGTAAAGCAAACAGGCAAAAACAAGGAGGTTATAGCAGAAACCAATCCGAAAAATATCGAAGGTTTGCTCATTTGTTCAAGAAGAAAACAATGCACGTCGTCGCGCACCCTTTCGTCGGGGAGGGAGGGGGGGGGGGGGGGCAGCGCCTACGGAAGTCATATTAGCGCTCAAGAGCCATGACTGCGGAATTCTAGCTCGTCACCCAACACGGATGCCGAATGCGCTAACCACTCGGCCATGACGCCCCGTCACTGACATTTCGCGTTATTTCCGAAACAAACTGTCTGGCATGGGGCGACTCGGCCAGTTCGGCGAAAGGCCTGTCACTAAATTGGCGTTAAATGGACGGATGGGTTTCTTCATCAAGCTACAATCCAACTGCACAATACCTTATTTCCAGGTCATCCAACTAGAAAGCTACTACGCAACTTTGTGCGCCATGATTTACATCATTTACGTCACTGCAAAAGAGGTGTATTCAGCCATGCGTGACGAGGGTTAACTGTAATGTGATGTGCACCAGTGGCTGGTATGGTTGTGGCAAGCCTGGGGGGGGGGGGCTTACCGGCAGACGGCGCTTGTGGCCGGCAGCAGCAGCTCGTCCATGGTGACTGAGTCACGCGTGCCCTCCAGCGCGACGGTGCCCAGACCGCGCTCCAGGACAGCCATCGAGTCGGTCAGGCTGCCGCTGGAGGGGTGCACCGCAGGTCATGTCAGGGTCAGATCAGGTCAGGCCAGGTCACTCGCTCACTCGGACGGGCCGGGTCACCTTCGCAGCCAGCAAGCGTGTGTTAGACATTGGCGAGGTGCAGCACAGCACTGCGATGACCCAGCTCGAGGAGCATTGCGAGCCGTCAGTAGAATATACTGGTTGAGAGCAGAGACAGTAGAGCTTTGCATGCACCTGAGGGTACAGCAGAGCAGAGGCTTATCTTAGGCAGAGCAGAGAGACTTACCTTAAGGCAGAGTAGAGTAGAACTTACCTTTAGGTAGAGCAGAGCATATGCTTACCTCTAGGCCGAGCAGAGCAGGGAGGCTTACCTTAAGGTAAAGCAGAGCAGATGTTTACCTTGGGGCAGAGCGGAGCACACGTTTACCTTTAGGCGGGGCAGAGCAGAAGCTTACCTTTAGGCAGAGCAGAGCAGAGCAGAGAAGCTTACCTTAAGGCAGAGTAGAGCAGAGGGGCTTACCTTTAGGCAGAGCAGGGCAGATAGGCTTACCTTAGGGCAGAGCAGAGCAGGAAGGCTTACCTTTAAACAAAGCAGAGCAGAGGCTTACCTTTAGGCAGAGCAGAGCAGGGAGGCCTACCTTAGGCAGAGCAGAGCAGAGAAACTTACCTTAAGGCAGAGCAGAGCAGAGGGACTTACCTTTATGCAGAGCAGGGCAGAGGCTTGCCTTAAGGCAGAGCAGAGCAGAGGCTTACCTTTAAACAAAGCAGAGCAGAGAGACTAACCTTTAGGCAGAACAGAGCAGGGAGGCTTACCTTTAAGCAGAGCAGAGCAGGAAGGCTTACCTTTAAGGAAAGCAGAGCAGAGGCTTACCTATGAGCAGAGGCAGAGCACAGGCTTACCTTAAGGCAGAGCAGAGCAGAGGCTTACCTTTAGGCAAACAGAGCAGGAAGGCTTACCTTCAGACAGAGCAGAGCAGAGAGGCTTTCCTTTACTGCCCTGCTCTTAAGCAGTTCTGACCACAAAGAACTGACAAAAAATAAGATACATGACAGCATTAATTTTTGCATAGCATCATAAACTTGTATGGCTGCATTTGTTCAGCCAAATGGGCTGCAACTGAACAATCATTTACATTACAAAAAAAAACTTCTGTGGGTTTTTCTTACATCATATCTGAGCTACTGATTATTGGTTTTGTGTTGTGATGTTTAAGTACTTCTTGACCTTATGCTATAAAATATAATGTTGTACCCATTCAGGAATATTGCCTCATTCTGTTGAAGTTTGTGGAGGTGTCAAAACATGCAAATAAAAGTAATCAACATCGTCAAAATTGTCCTGGAATTATGGAAGCTGATACCACACATTCCGGATAAACAAACACAATCCCTTCTATGATGCAAGCTAATGCCACCTTTACGATGTACGTGCCTGAAACTTGATCCAGTGATCTGCCGTTCGGTGGAAGTTCTACCGTAAATCAGTGGGCGACTGCAGGCGATCACCGGCCAGTCAAAGCCCCGAGAGCCTCCGTTCCCGCCCCCGAGCCTAAATGGTCAATCGGTCATCTTAAACACAGCGAACTCGTGATTGCCTATGGTATCATGATCTCTCATTAGATCCAGTTGGTGAAATGCCATTGCCCTCGACTGGAAATTTTGTCAGTTTGCTTGCGCTTCTTCACCGTTAGTTTAATGGGGCGATATAATCCCGTAAAACCTGTCTGTCAGAGGCCCTTTTAGCCGGCTGCTGCCATCCCGGGCAGTGCCGGCCTCACCTGGTGTCCGCCAGGCTGACAGTCTCGTTCAGGAGCCGACTGATCTCCTGCTCCCGATCCGTCACAGGCCCCATGAACACCTCGTCCTCGCTGTCGGTGTCACCGCCCCGCCGACGCCAGCCGGCCGACATGGCGAACAGCCTGAGAACAGAGCGGCGGCGGCGGCTCGTCACTGGAGAACGACGGTGAAGGACGGACACCGGCCGAGCGAGACTGCTGAACAGCTGACTTTCACCAGACAGCAGCGCCCTCACGCAACAGGTGACAACAGCTGTCAATAATATCTCCATGGACCCCCAGAAGCAGAACACCTGCCTGTTACTGGGGACTGACGATGCAGAGCTGCGATTAGTGCAGGGATCAGCTGTCTGTTGCTGATCAGTCTCCACAGGCCTGACAGTCCTGTCCTTGTCAGATATAGCCAATGATCAAAGAAGAGTCTTGCAAAATGGTATTTTGCTGGGTATATGGTATCAGTGGAGCACAAATAGTGGGCCTTTCAGTCAAAGTAACAGATAAGCTTCTGCACATCAAACATCAACACAATATGGAAGTCAGGAAAGCTATGCACTGAGATCAGTTGGCAGTCACAGTGATTACTTGTTGTATTAGTTTACTACTTCTTTATTTACATAGCCCTTTGTGTAAGCTAGGAAAGGCCCAAACACCTTGCAGTCAGAGCTATAAACCATTGTTCATCTAGCTTCCTGTGTCTACACAATAGCATAAGGAATGTTTTTACTTGATTTGCATTCAACACTCCCCCATTGAACCACTCTTTTAAGACATCAGGTGACAGCTTGTGGTGTTGTGACCAAACTGGGCAAGATGCATTTTATTGGTCTGAATTATCATATTGAAAAATTCCAAAACATGTGGAATGAAATGCTACACAAACCAGAGGCATACTTCTCTTTCATTGTCCTGTCATTGTTCATCATTCAACTATCATGTTGCAAATTGCAAAATGCATCTAAAGTATTCCAGCAGAAATGTCAAGGACATTACTCCAGGGTATAATAGATCACTACATATGCTGTGTGAGAACATATAACAACCCACTTTCTCATATATCATATATCAATAAAGTGGATCAAAATGAAACTTCCCTTGTTATGCAGCTCATTGTGGATTTAATACTTGTAAGCTTCTTGACTGGAGCATCATAGGGATTTCAAGCCTGGTAGGGACCCAAAAGAATTTGGGAAAAAGTTTCTAGGTATAGAACAAACAGACCATTTGGGGGATCAACCCATAAATACAACAGGATGGATGTCCGTGCAGTGCCTCTAGGGCGAGGGCAGGACACGACCCTTCTGGCACACAGCCCCATTCCTGCAAGGCATGGGGTTTATTTTATTTTGAATGAATGGCACAAGATAAGTCACAGTATGAAAACACAGCAAGGTAAAACAAATTGTATTGCTTAAGGGTTTCTGCAAAGCCATTTTTCTGCCAGGAAAGCCGAGTGAGGTGGGGTCATCTTACTTGTATTGCTAAACTAAGCCCCTATTCATCACTCTAGTTCTGGTGTCCAGTGCCACGAATGTTCTGCAGAATTTTACCAGACAGGACTGCAATGTGTTTTATGTGCTGTGAAATGATGCTCGATGGCGATCCTTGGCCTGGGATTATTGCATTTCACATTGAGCACTGGGACGTTTGACTACCCATGACACAGGTGAAGTTCAGACATGAACTGCTCATTTTGTGCCAATGAGAGGCAAGTAAAAGTCAGGAAACAGGAAGGCCAAATCACGGCCCAAACATACCACAAAGTCGCCGGTGAGCAATCGTCTGAAATCGCAATCGGCGTCACTTATAAGTTTTAGAACAAAAACAAGTTAGAAGACCCATGACTTGACCCGCCACATCACAATCTAGGCAGATACGGAACGGGTGAAATCCAGCTAAAAATCATGCATGAAGTAAATCAAAACAGGGCACTGGGAACGTACTTCAAGTTGGGTAAAAATAAGCCCGAGACGACAACGAGCAAGCTTCCAAACCGCTTGTTTTGAATGGGGCGGCGTTTGAAGCCTGCGCCGAGGCCGCACCCCTGTGCCTTCTTTTTGAACGGCTCATGTGCCTTTCGAAATATTCTAAGAGAAGAATAAAAACGGTTTTATTCAGGATCCTTAGTTTTTTATTTAATGTTTTCATATTGAATAATCAATCTAATAGCTTTAGGCTAAGCATACAGATTGTAAGGCGACATCGTATTGCTTAAACTCTGATAAAATGGTGATGGCCTTGCCTCAATACAAATGTGATCCTTTGTGTTACATTACTGACGCATGTCAAGAGTTCTTTAGGGTGTCCGACATTCGCGTTCGAGTACTGCTGAAGCCAACACGTTCCGGCCGTCTGGGGGTGGCGCGTGTTGGTGTCTGATAAGTGTAGAGCATTTTTGACAGGCCATACGAACGGTAGAAGCGAGTTCTGTGGGGTCACATTAATTTACTTCTGAATTTCTTCCTGTTTCAAGACTTCGGGTGAATCTCAGTGTAATGTTTCTTTCTTCTTGGTGGTGATGGAGTGAAGTGAAAATGACTGGGCCGAGCCGACCCGGTAAGCGAGTGCGTACAGATGAACTTTTCTTTTCTCAGGTAGGGGGGGGGGAATCCTCAGGCTCATACCTGAAAATAACACTCAACTCAGGGAAATCATTCAAGTCCAAAGGTTGGCCATGGATCCAGATGTGCGTGAGAGGAGTTCTGGGAGGCTTCTGAAGAAGGTTGAAAAGGCGAATCTCTTGGCTGCAGGCAGCCTTCTGATAAAAACCAAAAATCATGGACAGACTGAAAAAGTTCATGAAAAACAAAAAGTTTGGGAATGAGGAGTGTGAGGTTGTTCGGGAACAAAGAATGAACACATCCAGGGGAACCATCATTGCATATGACCTTGTAGAATTTGTCCGAGACCGAGATTGTGGGATGGCTGGGTGAATTTGGGGTAATGGGTGCTCGGAGATTCACCAAGAGGGTGGATGGAAAGATGGAGAATACCCCAACCATACTTTTGACATTTGACAGGTCCTCATGCCCAGCCAAAATGGAGCTAGATTACATCACATACCATGTCCACCAATATATCCCCAACCCACTGATATGTTTTGGTTGTGGCAGATTTGGCCACACTGACACAAGATGCCCTGGTGATCCTCTATGCCTTCGTTGTGGGAAAGGAAAGCATAAGGGGAATGTGAGCGCTGGTGTGTGAACTGCAAACAGTCAGGACACTCATGCATGGCCAGAGAGTGTGAAATATGGAAAAAAGAAAAGGAGATATGTAAGATTAAAACTGAACAAGAACTCTCATACCCTCAGGCTAGAAGGCAATATGAGAAAGAGCATGACCCCCCTGTCCTGAAGTCATATGCTGCAAACTGTCCGGCACCCAAGTGTGGCTCCCACTAACAAAACAGCATGATGACCTCAGGGAAAAAGTAGGAAAACTGGAAGAAAAGGTGGGTGAGATGATTGCTCTGCTTCAGCAACTGCTGATGAAACAAGGTGCCCAGGGGAATACCAGGGGGAGGGATGACAGTACCAGACCTGTAGTAGACAGGATGAGGAAGTTGAGGTGGATGTTATAGCGGAGGGGGACAGAAGGACACTCAAAAAGATGAGCAGGAAACCTATGAGAGGAGGAATGATGGAGAGGTTCAAGTGATGCAGAGAGATGATGTAGAAAGTGAAAGAGTGGACAGGGAGATGAATCATATGACTGTGGAGCATAATGAGGAGATGGAGGGTTGGCAGAGAGCATGTAGGGCAAAGAAAAGGACAAACAACAATGTAACATATCTGAGGTACCTAATGACACTACCCCATCACCAATGATTAGCCGAGCAGGGAGATCTACGGAGAGGACGAAGAGAAACTCCAGCCAAAGGAGGTCATGGAAGGAAGACTAACTAGTATTGAAATGGAGTGAACCACGTTTCTTTCTTCTTTGTTAATAGCTGAATAGTTTGTTGGTGATTGGTTGACAGGTATGTTGAATATTTGAACGAATAGGCCAGCAAATTCAGACGTTCTCCACGTAATTGTTCTCGTGCGGAGGGCATGCAGAGGTCGGTGGTGTTTGTTTTCATAGTTATTTTAGGACCCTTAATGCCGGGATTGTTATGCGAAATGGTTTGCAAAGTTGAGGGAGACTTAAATAACAAGTTCATGGTGTTTTCCGGAGGCAGCTGCGTTTTCGGTTGAGCAGAGGTCGCCCGGTTGGGCTAGTCCCAGCCCACTTGGTTCTCGGAGGTAAGGTTAAACATCCAGGTGCGATACCTAATTCGGGTCAGGGGGTGGACGAGCTGAGGTTGTTTGTCTCGTGGAGGTCACCCTTCGGAGGGTGCGGGGTGATCCTTGCCGGGGGCAATGGTACAGACGCTATTTCCACTCGACCGGCCGGAGCGCGCCTGGTTCCGACCGCGGGGTTGGGGCTGGCTGGGGAGGGGAATAAGGGAAAGGGAAATGTGTATGTACTGAGATGTTTTGTTCGCAGTTACAGGACAAGTAGTACATACCGATGTTTGGCATATTTATTAATTTATTTATCTGATTTTTTCATGTTTTTGGTGGCGGTCCTTTGTTGGATTTCGGCGTTCGGGCTGAGCATTGGTTGTATGTTTGTGTGTGGGGATATGGTACGCGGTACAGGCTACTCGCTTGATTTTCTGATGTTCAAGTTTAAAAGTTCAATAAATGTCGAACTGTTGTCGGCGTGTGTGCTTGACTGGACGGAGTCTGCAGTCTAAGGCAACAATAAAATGACTTTCAGCATTATGCAGTGGAACTGTAGAGGTGTGATTTCAAAGTGGGCGGAGATAAAACCACTGCTGCTGGCAAGACCACATAGTGCCGTATGTCTCCAAGAGACACACTTCCTCCCTACTGACCAATATGATTTCAGAATTCCCGGATATACTCTTTATAACGCTTATTCTGACGCACATATTAGACGAGGCGGAGCATCAATCTACGTCAGCAACGACCTACCCTCATTTTCAGGTCACACTAAATACTAATTTTCAGGCGGTGGCATGTTCGGTGACAATGGGGCATTCTCGTATTTGTGTTTGTTCTTTATACTTACCACCAAACGAGAATTTGACGTACCTTGAACTGAACGACTTGGTTACACAGCTACCGCAGCCGTATATCATAAACACGGACGCCAATAGTCGGCATTTCTTATGGGGTGCAGACCGGTGCGATTCTCGTGGAAAGGTGTGGGAAATGATAATACGGCAACATGCCTTAAAAGTGATGAACGATGGTTCCCCAACCAGAATGGACGAGTACACAGGATTATGGGTCACATATCGACCTGACTGTGACGTCAAGCAGTGTGGGACAATTCATGCATTGGCAAACGGACACTGACTTACACTCCAGTGATCATCTCCCAGTTTATATTACATATGATAGGTATGGAGATATTCCACCACGACGTGACGAATTTACTGGTTGGAATATTAACAAGGCGAACTGGTCTGAATTTACTGACAGATGTTGTTTGCGATTCAATGAAAGGGACGGTATGCAAAACTACCAAAACATTACGAAGGTTTTGCTGGGAGCAGCAAAAGAAAGTATTCCTCGGAAAAGCAGAAACACCAAATATAGCTGCCCCTGGTGGACTGACGAGTGCAAGGAGGCAATTCGGGCAAGGAAACGGGCGCTCAATCGATTCCGACGTTCGCACACACATCTGCATTTATTGGCTTATAAGGAGGCGAAGGCGAAAGCCAGAAGGATAATTCGTACGGCAAAGAAAGGTTCGTGGGAAAAACTATTGCATATGTTCAATGTGAATACGCCGATACAACACTTATGGGACATCATTAGGAAATTTACCAGAAAGGAGCGATTTGCGAGACCCTTACCTGTTCTGAAGGTGGCTGGTAACATAATTGACGACCCAACTGAAGTTGGAAATATCTTCGGACGGTTGTTTTCTGACATGTCGTCCTCTCGGAACTACCGAGCCACTTTTAGAGAGCTGGAATGGCAGATGATGGATCAAATGCCGTCATTTATTTCTGACAATGAGGAGGTTTATAATGATGTATTCACGATGGCTGAGCTACAAATGTCTATTGCTAAATGCGGCAATACATCCATTGGACCGGATGAGATACATTACGCGTTTTTTAGACACCTACCTGATGAACAATTGCATTCAATTTTGGAAATGATGAACTGCATATGGTGTGGAGGTGGTATCCCTGATGAATGGAGACACTCGATTATTGTTCCTATTTTGAAACCAGGCAAACCTAGGGAAAACCCTGAGTCATATAGACCAATTCAGCTAACTTCATGTTTTAGCAAAATAATGGAACGAATGGTCGCCAGACGGTTATCCTGGTTTCTTGAGCGGAACAATATGTTGTCTAAATATCAGTGTGCATTTAGGAATGGAAGAAGTACCACAGACCATGTAGTCAGGCTGGAGTCCGAGATTAGAAAAGGTTTTTTCTACAACAAATATACCTTGGCTGTTTTTTTGGACCTTAAAAATGCATATAATCTCACGTCTAAAGTTGCTTTGCTCACAAAAATGTTTAATATGGGTTTTAGAGGACGCCTTATGTATTTCGTTAGATCGTACCTTGATAACAGAACCTTCCAGGTGCGCAATGGAACATTATCGGATACGTTCGAACAGGAAAACGGCTTAGTCCAAGGAGGAGTTATATCCCCGATATTGTTTAACATCATGATTGATGACGTGTGTGGAAATGTCCCGAGTGAAGTGTCCCGAGCGCTGTACGCTGACGATTGCTCTCTATGGGTGCAGGGAAGGAGAATTTTTCATCTAGTTAATAAAATGCAGGGGGCGTTGAACCATGTGAGTGCATGGGCTGATCGGTGGGGTTTCCTTTTCTCACCTCACAAATGCAACGCAATTGTATTTCGAAGGTATATGAAGGCAAGAGAGATGACGAACATACCTGACTTACATATATATAACCAACCTTTAACATACACCGACACCGTCAAGTTTTTGGGAGTGATGCTGGACTCTAGGCTGAACTTAAACACGATGATGCAGTACATTAAAACAAAAGCTGTCAAAAGGATATCAATATTAAAATGTTTATCTGGAAAAGGCTGTGGCGCAGATCGTTCTACACTATTGAGAATATACAAAGCCATGATAAGACCGATATTAGAGTACGCATGCCAAGTTTTGATGGTCCCCGTAACAAGGCAGTGGAAATGATTGATGTTATTCAAAATGAATGCATTAGAATTGCTACTGGAGCCTTTAGAACTTCGCCCATTTTACCACTGATGGTTGAAGCAGACATACTTCCCTTGAGACTGAGGAGATGCGACTTGTCTCTCCGTTATTCCCTGAAGATACTAAGTCGAGAGGATCATCCATGCAGAAAACTTATGGCCAATGAGGCTGCGTTACATGAGGTAGAGACTGGATATATGAAAAGGATTTCTGGTTTCCTGCTATATGAGAGAATACTTGATATGTGCCATGAAACAGGATTCGATTTCCCAGAAGAGGTGACCTTAAAACGCAGCGTCGTTCCGCCATGGAGATTACGTAAATGTACGTTGATAAAGTTGACTAACAGGAGCAAGAGAACGCTAGATGAAGTGCAAATTCAATGTGAGTTTAATTATTTGAGAAGCAGGTATACAGAATACGAGTTCATATTTACCGATGGAGCAAAAAGTGCAGACGGAGTTGGATGTGCTTTTGTCCACGGTGAAAGACGTCAAAAATTTAAACTTCCTGAACTTTGTTCGATATTTATAGCTGAAGGATTCGCAGTATTACAGGCTCTGAATTATACACATACAAATCGCATCCTCAAATGTGTTATATGCACAGACTCCTTGTCCATTATAACAGCCCTGGGAAATCCGACTTCTGAAAACCCGATCGTGATCCATTTACTAGAGACGGTCAGTCAGCTTATTGAAATGGGCAGTATAATCATTGTCCTCTGGATCCCAAGCCATAGTAATATACGTGGAAACGAGACAGCGGATGCACAAGCAAAGATGGCTATAAGATTGAATGACGTGTGTAATTTTCAAATGGGTCCTAAAGATTATTTTCCTAAAGTGCGTCGAAGTATTCGTGAATTATTCAACAAATATTGGACAGATTACAACCCTAGGACTAATTTAAAACGCATCAAAGAAGAGGTAGGAGACTGGGTCTCCTGTAAGCGAGCAGTCCGACGCGAAGAGATAGTGCTGTGCCGGCTGAGACTTGGGCATACTCGCTATACCCACGCATACATGATAGATAGAAACCTCCAACCTGAATGTGAACGATGTCAGTGTCCATTAAAAGTGTATCACATTCTTCTTGAATGCCCCGTATATTTTCACGAAAGACGATCATTGGTAACACTATGTCAACGGTCCGGAACACAATTTTGTGTGAGGTCGCTGGTAGGAAATCAATTCCCGGACATCATTGATGGAGTGATGAAATATTTGCGACACTGCGACCTACTGAAACAATTGTGAAGTGCTGCCTTTGCGTGCGGGACAAGTGCAATTTTTGCTTTGCTGTCATTGATTGCTGCCATGTTGTTTATACTATATTGTAATTGTTTGAAATGAGTTGTTTATTCTATGTATAATTTAAGCTTGCGTGCATATCTGCGTACGATGTCTGACTGGATGCTTGAGAAATGTGAGAAGCAAGGAAGTGGTATAGGAATTATGTGTAGCAAATATGTGTATATGTGTGATACGTGGGTGTGTGCGTAAGCAGAGGAGATTACATGAATGAGGTTTGAACGAGCATGGTGAAGACAGATGAATGTGCGTGCATGCGTTAGAGTACACGGCATGGCAGATATGTGAAATTTCCATCTGGTAAATGCTTTGTTAAACGGCAATGTTGTGACTGCCGACTGACTGATGACTAACCTGCAACGTCTATCATGTGGGGAAGCTGCGGTTAAAAGAAAATGATAAAAGAGCCTGGCAAAAAAAACCGGACTTTTTGTTCTCTTGTTTTAGTTCACTAATCAGTTGTATCTGAACATTTAACACCGAGTTTTCTAGAAACTAACACCGTTTACTGCACCTCCTTGCTACACCACTATCCTGCACGAAAATTCCTGACCAGTGCGACACATTCCTTCTATCCTCTGTCGCGCTTAGTTACCACCTGTGCTACCAAACTTGTAAGACAACACTTCAACGATGGACGCCTGGGCCCAAGAGGCTATGCGCCCTAACCAACAACAACAACAACATAGGGTGTCCGACAAGTTGATATCAGATTCACATTAATGTTGGGTTGGGGGTCTTGGTGCAGTGATGCATAATGTTGGCTGTAAAGCCTACGTACAAATATATTTCGGGGTAGAGTTTTGCCATGATTTGCATGCCAATGCAATGATGGAGCGGGACCAAATACATTTCGTCAAACGATAATGTTTAAAGACTTTCTGGTAATCAAAATATCTGGGAATTCTGCACCAATGGTTATTGTTCCTTTTCAATCTTTGAATGGTCTGGACTCTAGATCCACTGTCCAAGCTATGATTGACAGGGTTAAGGTCTTATTGGGGCGGGCAGCAGGCACATTGGCCACCCTGGTAGTACCTAACTGCCGCACAGCCGACTATCGACAGTCCCGTCATGGTTTGCAGAGAATGTGTTTTGCAGTGCATTTGTTTTTCACCATGATTATTCTTTTTGCCTGGAATTTTGCAATCGGATGTTGGCGCCAGAGCTCATGTAGCTAGCACTGCTCAGGGTAGTGGTCTTGTATTAAGTAAGTCCATGTACTCAAGTCTTGGACTGAGTATCATAAATTTTTATTGAAGCAGAAACTGACCAAGCCGCAGACCCTTGTGCATCACTCTCAAACACCAAGCACCTAGGCTCAATCTCCAGGGACCTGCACTCTAAATTATACATGAAGGTCCTCGTAACCCAGCGATCAGTATCAGCATCAGCTACTGAAGCCACTATTGAAGCCATGCCGTGTGTTGACCCGTGTCCAGTATATCGCTCACTGCTGGCAGGCCTGACGCAGCGCTGATTGGCAAAGCTGCAGCGATCAGTGACCAATACTTTTGTCGGTGTCGATGTGCATAAGGTAGCAGTCGAGAACTACTAGCACCAGGTGCTTGTGGACAAAGCCCGTTTTGTTGCGGCGAGTTCCTGCTGGCGCATTACTGAATGAAGCCGCACCGCCAGGTGGTTTGTGATGAACATCTGGGCGCTCATCTCATGTATTGTTCTGACGAAGGAATACTAGGCTCCTTCGAAATACTAGCAAACGCGCGCATCAATACAATCCAATCCGCCGACAGTAGAAAAAAATGTGGCACACATTTCGGCACATGCACAACGTCGCAACTCTGCACAGGAGTTGATGCCATACAAGGCAACACGAGAACAGCAGGGATCGAGTGGGAAGCACCAGTGTGGGATGAAGGCTTGTACGGACGGAGCGTTCATACCTGAGAACGGTAACAGGCGCCCTCGCGTGCGAAGTAGAATGAAACAGACTTGATATTGCGCACAAAATAACGGGCGGTCTACTATCAAGCATGACACCATTGTCATCAAGCATGCCACCATTGTCACGCAGCGCCCGCGAATCGCCGAGGTGACCATCCAGAAGCTGCCGGGCGAGCCATACGATGGAGCGCCGGTGAATGTCGCCAACAAAGACGCGAGCTGAACATCCCGAGAGCTGGCAGGCGTGCCATATAGTGGAGCACCGGTGAATGTCGCCAATACAGACGCGAGCTGGCGTAATGACACACTGCCGTACATATGCAACACTCGCACTCAATGAATTAAGTAGTCCCACAAAATTTGATCGTCGTAGGAAAACAAAAATCGACATCACACCGCAGACGCCGCAGAGGGAATGGTCCAGGGAATGTCCCGTACTAACAGCCTACCATTGTACTCACTATGGGCCGTGAGGCGCTACACATCGCGCGCGAGGGTGAACTCGTCACAATAGAGTAGGAATAAAGCAACTAGGTACGGCGGGATCGGCGTATGGACGGTGCAGGAGACCACGACGGCGGCCCGCACCGTCCGACGAAGCCATCCAGATGATGGCTCCCGGGCCTGGCTCCGCCAGCCCAGCAGCACCGCGTGACACCGGGCGGAGAGGGGAGGGCGGTCGAGATCGGGTGGCGGAGTATCCCAGGTGAGCCGCAGGTCCGATTCGATCGTTCGAGCGGTTGGACGCCATCCCATAATCATATCCCCACCCTAATGGATCCCGGCGCCCCCTGGGGTGGGATCGGACCCGATTCCCTAGCGGATGGAGGTCAGACTCGACCGCCCCTGCTCGTCGTATGGGGCTCACACCCGGCTGCCTTTGCTGGCGGCGTGGTCGGTTGTCGGCCGCAGACGCTCGGGGCCCGGCTGGCCGTGGTGGACAGCCGCTGGTGCCAGTCTCCCGCCGGGGCGGACTGAGTGGTGCCGACAGCGCGCCGGCCGCGGCCGCAGCTGCGGCCAGAGACACGGAACACCGGTCAGACAGGCGCGCCGCAGTCACTCACGCAGTCACCGCAGTTATACCACACACAGACTAATTACGCCCCCGGCCGGGCATCGGCTCCACCGGCCCCAGCCGGGCCAGCTGCCGTCACCAAGCGACCACCCAGCCCTCCGTCCGATACCACCAAACGTCTGACCTCCACGCCTCACTCGGCCCCCACTCACCGCCGCATGCAGCGGCCGGGCCTGGAGTCCGGCCGGCGCCGGCCGCTCTGCCGCCGGTGGCCGGCCCGGAGCGCGTCCTCTCGTGGTGGCGCGGCAGAGAGTGGTTCGCCGTCGGGTCGACTCCGCCGCCGCTGCCGCCGCCACCACGCGCGACGGCCTGCACTGACTCGTACTCGTAGTAGTTGCTGATTGGCCGTTCGGCGGCGCTCGGCTCGGCGCGCCGGCCGCGCTGCGAGTGGTACACCTGGTGCTGCCGCCTGGCGGTCACAGCTAAAGTTAGGAGCGGGAACGTGACACTGCACAGGTGCCGGCGACCAGCTCTGGGGAGCACACCTGGTGCTGCGGGCTGGCCGCCCGCGTTGGAGGTAGGACCAGGGTGCGACGATGCTGAGGAGTGAATCAGTCAGATGAAGGGACCGGAGTTATGAAGACATTGCCACCTGCACGCGCAGTGTCTTTTGAACCGGACGTGCCATTTTCGTGGCTGAAATGTCGCACACTTGACAAGTCTCAGATATTGGAAAGACAACTATCGCTATGTCTTTTCACCAATGATCGCAATGATCACGAACGGGGCGGGCATGCCCAAGACCATCCGATACGAATCGGACACAGCGACACAAACGATCTGAGCACGATTACTGTGGCGTAGGCCTCCCGCCAGGGCACGTGCATTGAGCTCACCTGCCAGCAAGGGCCATTACACTCCCGTGCACGCACGCCAATGACCACATGCAAGCGACCCTGACTGAGTACGACAGGCAAGCGACACTGGCAGAGTACGACATGCAAGCGAAACTGGTTGAGTACGACAGGCAAGCGACTCTAGCAAAGTACGACGGACAAGCGCTACGACGGCCGATGGCTTCCGCGAGCCCATCACGCGCACCCGCACTGTGAGCAAATGATACAAACAGCACGGGGACAAGGTCGCGCTCGTGCACGGGGGCCGGGGGAGGCGTGCTCATTCGGGCCCGCGGAGACCACGCGTCAAAATGTGGCAAGAACAGAGCTACACAAACGCGACAGAAATGAACCCCTGAACTCGGCCGGTGGCGGTTGGACAAACCAGCCCGCAGCGGGCGTATAAGCGTATTCCCGGGTGCTACCGCCCCACACCTGGCCTCGTCCCGGAACTTTTGCTCCAGTCGACTGAGCAGAGCGGCGCCCCTCAGGCGTTTCTCGCTGGAAACCAAGGTCCGACACCGGTGAACAGGTCGTGCTGGATTAGGCGTCTGTCGGCTTGCGCGAGCCCGTCACCACCGTCACCGCAGGTCGTGCATGCCACACTTAAGGCAACGAACACCATCTCCTGGCCACGTCCCCATTTTGCAGCGCAAAAAGGCCCGGAAGGCAACAGGCAACTTAAATTCGCTGGCGGCGCGGATGTAAAAAGCGGATGTCGACAGCGGCTGTGTGGCACAAGACATTGCCCCCAATGTCCGATCTATGGATAAAGCTTTCATACATAGGGTTCCCCGGAATGTTTGGTTCAATATCACGTTTGAATAAAATCCATCCATTTACCACTGTATTTTATCAGCTTTAAATTCCAACCGATCTGAATGTTGAGAGGAACCTTTGCTTGATAATACTCAATATCATTAAAGCGTATTTCGACACTACCTATCCTAAAATGTCAGATGGAATATGCCTGACCATTATTCTGTCTTATTGGATACTGCAACTCCTATAGTCCCTTTGCAGTTTCGTGCCGGAAAATTCAGCTAACAACATGAATCCTGTTATTACAGGGAACATGCCACCCAGAAAAACTTCAGAGCCCATGACATAGAAGCGGCTCAGTGCCCCTTCTGTGACAGGTCCAGCAGCTGAGATCAGCCGAGCGATTAAACAGGATCTTCCGGTGCCAGAGAGCCGAGCGCGGCGTCCTGGCCGCTCACCGCAGGTGGTGCTGTATCTGCTCGTAATTGGCGTAGTGTCCGAAGCGCTGGTGGTCGTGGTCGGAGCCGGAGACGGAGCCGGAGCCGGAGCCAGGGCCAGGGCCGGGGTTGGGGCCGAGGCCAGGGGCCACCAGCCCCGCTCGGCTTCCGGGCCGCAGCATCGGCTCGTACGGGTCGCACATGCCGCGCCGCGCGGCCGTCGCGCCAGCGGGGCCCGGGCTGCGGCGGCGCGAGTCGGACGCCGCCGCGCCGCCGGCGCCGCATTCGGGGGCGCCGCCGCTGCGGGTGCGCGGCTGCGGCGCGCCCGCGGGCCGGCCGCCGGGGCTGGGCGGGTGCGGGCCGGCCAGGCCGGGCCCGCGCCGGTCCGACGCAAGGGCGCCGGCCGCGCCTGGGTCGGAAAGAGGCGAGCGGGGCCAGGATGGGCTTCCCGGGATACGGGTGTCGGAGCGATGTCTCGGAATCTGGGAGTCGGGTGGGCCCGAGTTCGGGGCACGCGGGTCTGGGATACCACTGGGGTACACTCGTGATTCTGAGGGACCACTGGAGTACGCCCGTGGGTGCGAGGGACCGTTTGAGTACGTCTTTGGGTCTGAGGAACCATTGGAGTACGCCCGTGGGTCTGAGGGACCACCGGGGTACACCCGTGGGTCTGAGGGGCCGTTGGGGTACACCCGTAGGTCTGAGGGGCCGTTGGGGTATACCCGCGGGTCTGAGGGACCGTTGGGGTAGGTTTGCCGATTTGCAGGACCGTTGAGGTACGCTCTCGGGTCTGGGGGGACATTTGCGTAGGCCCGTGGATCTGATGGGCCGTTGGGGTTGCGCCGCCGGTCCGACGGACCGCTGGGAGGTGCTCGTGCATCTGATGGGACGCCAGGATGGCCTCGCAGGTCTGACATATCGTTGGGATTGGTCCGTGGCTCCAGTGGACAGCTTGGGCGGCCTCGCTGGCTCGGTGGTCCACCATTGCTGCCCGCTGTCTGCTCCACGCGCTGAGGAAAATTGATCCGTGGCAGTCTTGCATGCAATCTGGGCCTAATCAAGAAACGAGCTAGTTTACAACTGAAAGCATTGGGAAAATGCCAAACATCGAACAGAACATTAGCAGCGAACAAAAACACAGATATCGGGTAAAATACAACTATCGAACACGATTCTTGACAAAATTGAATGAAAAAATGAGAAAAAAATGCAGGCGCACACAATTATTGCCAATAAACACCAATGCCATTCAAAACGAGATGGCCGCTGAGGAGTTAGCGTGCGCCACGCACCGCAGGGCGACGTGCAGGCGGCGGGTTAGCCCATCCCAACGGCGAACAAGAGAATGACGACAAGCAAGCCTCCAGCAAATATCGTAGCCGCAGGGCGTCCGCCGGCGAGCCCAGACACAGGCATGCGGCCAGCCGCAGGCAGGGGACGGCAGGCGAGGGCGGCGCCCTCTGACCTACCCAGAAGGGCGGCGCCCTCTGACCTACCCAGAAGGGCGGCGCCCTCTGACCTACCCAGAAGGGCGGCGCCCTCTGACCTACCCAGAAGGCGGCCGGCTGGCGCGGCGCCGCCGCGACGAGCGCCGGCGGCCGCCGGTTGCGGAAGTACTCGCTGCTGCGCGCGCCGTGTCCGTGCAAATCGCGCACGAACGTCGGCTCAGGCACATTATTGTTGAGCCGGTCAGAGAGATGCGGCGGCGGTGCGGCCGGCTTGGTTGGGTGCGCCTGTAACCGGGTCCGGCCGGCGCCCTGCCGTCAGCCGGGCCGGCGCCGTCCCTAGGCCACACGCCGCACCGCCCACTGCGGGTCGCACACCGCACCACCCACTGCAAGCCGCACACCGCACCGACGTCCGCAGAAAGCGCGAGGGCATAGGAGCGTGCTACGAGTCCATCACCTCCCCAGTTCACAAAAGGAAAATCAAACAAGATGTTAAAAAATCTAGAATCGTGATTACTACCAGCTCTTCGCAGGTGGTCATTATTGATGGTCAGACACTAGCTGGAAATGGGCAGTCAAACGCAATCAAAATGTACTAAGTACTATTTCTCTAACGTCTAGTACTATTTCACGTCAGACGAGCTAACATTTAACGTTCAATGAGTAAGCAACCATGGTATGCTCATAGCCGTAAACGTCAATCTTTTTCCAGCGTTTTAACACTCCACGTTGCACTTGAGTCATTCCAAGACAATTCGCGGAGGGGACAGCCGCCAAAAACTGGCCCAAAGCACTTCACGCCGGGGATCCACAATAGTGGACTTACAGCTCCAAATGTAGCGAAAATATACACGGCAATGCGGCATCGTGGATGTGTAATATTACTGTCAATATCGACTTCGCGTTTGCCAAAACCTTCCGAAGCCCCTCCTCTCCCTGCGCACGTAGGAAAAACTGCTGATGTAGGCTCGCACGCGTGTTGTTTTTGAACACAAGAGGACGACTACGGTCGCACTGGCTGATAGGCATCGATCACGTGTTGACGTCTCTAGAAAGCGCTACCCGTAGTGTGTGTACGCGCATTTGGTCGAACTGATTTGGCTCTGAATCGCATATAACCAAAAGCAAGTTGCTTACTTGGTGGCATTAAGGGGTTCCTTGAGCCAATTAAACGAAGCAAATGACGACAGAAGTGTTAGTCGTGCATGTCTTTACGTTGGACAGCAGCAACAGGACCATAGGCGCGTCATCATACGACCCATCAATGCCCAACATAAATCACTCTGCAGGGGTGCAAGCGTACCGACCGAAAGAGCAGCACAAGGATGCAGCCATTTCACCATGGCCGGGGCAGAAGCCCGCAAGCTGCGCACGCAGCGTGCCGCGATCGGTGCCCGCCCTGCGCCGAGCTGGAGCGGCCGCCCGAGAGCCTGCCTACCTGGCGGAGTCGGAGCTCTGCCGCCTCCTCGGCCGCCTCCGTCACGTACACGCCCTGGCGGCTGGCGTGGCGGCGCTGGTGCTGCTCACGCAGCTGCTGCATGCGGTCCGTGCGGCTGGGCGCGCGCTCCTGCGCCGTCGGCGGCATCGGCCCTGCAGGCTGGCCCTGCGACAGCTGCCGGCAAGCCCGGTCGGGTCAAGTCCGGCCAGGTCAGACCATGTCAGACCAGGTCAGGTCGGATCGGGTCATGTTCGGCTGAGGCAGGTCCAGTCAGGCCAGGTCCGGTCGGGCCATATCCGGTGAGGTCAAGTCGGGTTTGGTTGGATCGGGTCGGGTCTGGCCATGTCCGGCCGGCTCAGGTCAGGTCCGGTCGGGTCACGTCCAGCCATACCAGTTCAGATCGGATGGGGTTTGATCGGATTGGGTCAGGTCTGGTCAGTTCAAGCCCGGACAGGTCAGTTGAGGTCAGGTCGGGTCATGTCTGGGGAGGGCAGGTCAGTCGGGTCGCATCACGTCTGGCCAGGCCGGATCGGGTCGGGTCGGGTCAGCGGTGTATGTGGCGGTATATGCTCAGACAGGGCATGCAATGAGCGCGCCTACCGCATGCCCACGGAGCAGCTGCTGCAGCCACACGGCCTCCAGTTTATGCAAACCACTTAATCTGTTGATGTTTGCTCACAAGTGCTTCCCGCCAAGACATTGACATATCAGCGTCAATCCTAGGTCTGCGCGGACAACCTCAATGCATGTGAACTGCATCGTACAGAGAGACGTGCTTGTCTCGTTGGCATATCACTGCCGCAACAGCCTCCACCCCAGAGACAGCTGTCCGTCTGCTCGGCCACAGCGGCCATGCCGTCAGTTGGGCTCCACTAATCACTGACAGGCAGCTTAACAGCGGCATACACTCCATGCCGTACTCGGCGCCGGCCGTGGGGCGCACCGCACCACTCACCAGCCTGTGCTGCTGGGCCTGCTGCTGCTGCTGCTGCTGGACCTGCTGCTGCTGCTGTTGCTGCACCAGCCGCTGGTACTGCTGCTGGATGCGCCGCTGCTCGTCCTCGGCTCGGCGCCGGGCCGCGATCCTGTTGAGCTCCTCTTGCTGCTGGCGCAGCTCGTCGGGCGTCAGGCGCAGCGCCGCGTCCGCCGCCTCGCCGCCCTTGCGGTGCCGGCCGAACCTGCCCACGCGCGGGCCGCTTAGCACGGAGGCGCGCCATACCGACAGGGCGAACGAGGGACGCGCGATAATCAGCACGGTCAAGCGAGCCGACAGGGTATTGCTGCCCAACGACCGACACTATGGGTGATGGTGAGGATAATTTGGGTTTTGGGCGCATCGACTGCAGGATGTCATGCAGCACCCATCCCGATCCTGAGGGGCACACCACGATGGGCGTAATGTGACATCAACATTATCTGGTAGCCCCGTGAGTCGACTGACCGACTCCCGCAGGGCTGGGCGGTCGCCCCCACCTGAACATACTGCCGAGTCCCTTCAGCAGGCCGGAGCGTCGCTTCGCCTTCTTGTCGTCGGCGGCGCCCGAGCTCATGGAGCTCTGGCGGGCGGCGCGGTCTCGGTTGAAGCCCGGCGCCGCCTCCTCGTCCACTAGATAGGTGACAAAATCGGCGTCAGCCGCCAGCGGCACTGCAGGCGTCCAAGGCGCGCGAGGAGGGAGAGACAGAGGGCGGTCAGCGGCGGCAGCGGCCGGGCACGAGCGGTGCGGAGAGCAGCCTTCACCGACAGCGGGCCCGTCTCGGGGCGCGGCCGACGCTGGGTGTCCACCGTAACAGCCGAGAGACGCCACTGGTGACGAACGGTCGCCTCGCCACCGCGGCGCTGGCCGCCACGCGGCACCCAAACGCGGCAGCGATAGATACGGAAGACAGCCCACCGCCACATCACGACAGCCAAAGCAGAAACGACACGAACCGGGTTAAGAACAGGTCAGTTGATGGAGTACAAGACACAGCCGCGTGCTCAGAGTCCCCCCCAAACAGGTTCCGTGAACTGTAAGTGATGTCAGGGAGATTCTGCGTCGTCACGCTCCTTTTTGCCGCTTGCTGATAGCGACGTGTAAATTGAATGCCGATTATCTTCCATACGCGTAAATATACTGTGGTATTGGGCGATCGAACGCACTACGAGCATGCGGGTGCAACTACTGATGCATCCACATGCATAACTACGCCCGACAAATATAAACACATTGGCCCTTAATAGCACATAAAATAATGTTGTGGCATGCAAAGAGTGAAGTATTTAAATCAGCGACACAAATTTTCCTGACCACCGATGCAAAGCATGACATGGAAACATACCAGACGAAAATGATGTAAAACCGTGCGAGGTGTGGAAATCATGCCTGGGATTGATCACGGAGCGGTTTGGGGGACAGGACGCACGCTTTCTCAGCTCATACCGATGGATACTGAACCACTGGGGTGTAAATCGCACCCACAAAGCAACCAGCTGCAGCCATGTCACGACGGTGCCAGCTCGCACAGCTGCTCAGTCGCGGCAGTATGCCGCCGCTGCTGCTCCATGTCTCCCTGTCCGTCCACCCGCCGACGGCCGGCCGGCAGCAGCGTCCGCTAACGCCTGTCCGACCGGCGCCGCCCACTGGGCGCCCACCGCCGGGTGCGGGCGGCCCATGCCGACCACTCACGCGTCTCCATGCGGTCCCGCATGTTGGCCAGCGGCGCCTCGTAGCTGCGGTCGACAGCGGCGCGAAAGCTCTCGTTGCAGCCGCGGCCGCGCACGGCCTGGGCGGCGGCGCGGTGCGCGAACGGCCGCTCGCTGTCCTCCACCAGCGACAGCTGCCGGCCGCGGGCCGCGTCAGCAGACGCACGGCGAGAGGCCAGTGCCAGGCGCCACGCCCCATGTGCTCGGCTTTACGCACGAGCTGGGGCGAGTGGCTCAACAAGCTCAATCCTACCCACCCCACCGCCGTCAGTCGCCCCCACAAAAAAAAATTCGGTTCTCCGACATGCAAACGGGATACGCATTCCAATAGTCAACCAACAAATCACGGACACGTTGTGCGTTGTCACCAGTCGCCAGCGCTGAACGGCCGTCACGGCCGCGGCGACGCTATCCCTGATGAGTACCGCCCGACGCCAGCTCACCTCGTGCACCATGGTTTGCAGCGACTCGAGGCTGGAGGACTTCTTCATGCCGAGGCTGGGACCCAGCTCGCCTGCCAACACAGCGGCCCCGGCCGTCACCAAAGCGCAGTGCTGGCACGGGCAGGCGGCGGCGCGCGGCGCCGGCCGGCCTCGCGCCGCCCAGACCCGCCGCCCCATGGCCCGTCTCGCCGGCCGCGGCTCGTCAGCCGGCACCGGGCCGGCGGGGAGCCGCCGCAGCGCCCCGGCCCAGACCGTGCACAGGTCCGCTGTCGGCGCGGGCCGCCGGCCGACAGCCCGTCACGCAGAGGCCTTTACAGGATCAACGACAGGCCTGGTGGGGCTTCCACACCAGGGCCGCCGCCGCCGCCGCCGCCGCCGCTGAGGCGCAGCGACGTCACAGCCGTCCGTGTCAGGAGACAGGTATCAAACACTTGACATATGAAGAAGAGCCAGCGAAGCCGCGTCACAAAAAGCGACTGCCGCTCTCTTCGCCTTGCTGCGGCTTCGCCCCTGAACCTGGAGTTAAGACTTCCCCGGCTTTATCCTACTCTCGAAAGCTACAGCCGTTGCTCACTGACCTGGGCCCCACCCATCTTGGTGGAGTCGCGCTACTTCCTTGCATATAAGAATCGTGACACACAGAACCAGTGTAACATCACCGGAATGTCCCAGATGCGCCTGCTATGCTTCAATTGCGAAATACTTTTTTTGTCGTTTTGTTTTTTCAGCTATTTTTTGTCGTACGCACTGCTTTCGTAAGCCTTTTATTGTGACCAGTTATCAATGGGATACCGCGAGTCCATTCCCGGGTTTTCACGTCACGTCCCAAACTGGTCGTGTCCCTTTCAGACTGTATTCCGTATCGAACACAAACCTATTAACTCCCTCAACAGAGCGTGAAACTTCGAACCCCATATACCTTGTCCAGTTGTGGTTCAACATCAGCATATCTCATTTTCACAGGGCAATACTTTGCCTACACAACGCCATATGACCTCGTGGTTTGTAAAAATAAAGAATGACAACACAAATTCAACTGACTCAAGCCGATGATCGAAACAGCCAACTGACTCAAACAAACTTCTCCAAAATGAGAAGTCATGAGGAGAGTTCTTGAATTAACGTATCACGTAGGCGGCGCGCTTGCCCCGGTGGCGCCGTCTCCAGCGCGGCCCAGCCTGCGGCCGTGAGCCGACCCGCCCCACAGCTGGCGCTCACCCGCGTCCCGGCGGCGCGCCTCCTCCCGGCGCAGCTCGGCCTCCAGCAGGCGGCGCTGCTGCTCGCGCTCCTCGCGCGCCCGCTTGGTGCGCTGGTACGTGTCCGTGCCCTTGGCGTCCTTGGAGGCGTGCCGCTTCTCGCTGATGGACTGGCGGCCCAGCTGGTCACGAGTGAAGCCCACACCTGCCTGCTCCAGCGACGTCCTGACGGCGGGCGAGAGGCGGCGGCGGCGTCAACGGCCGGCAGCACACGGCCCAGCACAGGCCAGCAACAGCCCAGCCACCTCATCAACAGTCCAAGTCTGCGGCAAACTCGCCCCAAAACCCAACAGTGCCCAGCTGGTTCTTGAACGTCACATAAAGCTGTCAGTCGCGAACAATTGCTCGCAGAAATCAACACACCTCCGCATGAAACAAAAATGGGTAATTGAGTCCACCCGCCCAAAACAAAAAAGCCGTTTCGCTTGCCCTCCCGCTCCCTTACTGGCTGGCGTAGGCTGCGTGCGTGAACGGCTCGGCGGTGGCGGCGGCGCTACCCGGCCCGCCGGGCGCCGCCTCGACGGAGACCGCGTCGACAGTGGGGCTGCAGCCGACCGGCCGCTCGCCGGCGGGGGACGCCGCCGCCTGCTGCAGCGCCGACGCGTCCCACGTGTCGTGCGTGGCCTGGGGGCACCGGTCCGGTCACCGCGCCGCGCAGGGGAGCGCTCGCCACATCAGGCGCCAGGACGAACATGCAGAACATCGTCGCCTCTTCAACGATGAGAATGCGCGAACGATTTCACCGCTTCAGCTTGAGCTGGCCGTGGGGCATGCGACATCACTCGCGGGAAAGGGGTCGATCTAACCCAGGTCATCAGCGGAGGTCATCAAACTATTTGTGAGTGATTACAGCTGTGCCTGGGCACGCCGCATCGCTCCCCTTGCCGCGCCAGCTCCCATCCCCAGCCTGGTCCACGGCACAGTTGCAGCCGGCGCCTTACCTGGTAGTAGCTGTCGTTGCGGATGTTGCGGGGGTGTCGGTCGGCGCCGGGGCCGGGGCCGTGGCCGTCGGATGGCGGCGGCGGCGGCGGCGGCCGATGGATCACGGTCACCTGCGACTCCTCGCTGTGGCCCGACTGGTCCCGCTCGCTGGATGGCCGCCAGCCGGCCAGCACCTCGCCTGAAGCCCCGTCAGGCATGGCGTCAAGCGTGGCCACTGCCGGCAGCGCCGCCGCTGCCCCTCACGCCGCAGAGTGAGAGCGACAACGACCAAAGACAGGCAGCAGAGCAGACCTCTGTGGACCGGCCTTCGATGGCAGCAGTTAGTGCGGCGCGGCGCGACACGGGAGCGACCCAGGACGAGGAGATGGGGTTAACAGGGCGGCAGCGCAGACATGTCAGTGCCGGCCACTCGTCGCTCTCACCGGACGAATTGGAGAGCATGCTGTTGACAGACTCGCGTCCGCTGCCGCCGCCCAGATCGCCCCGACGCGCTACCGTCAGCGTGATGACGCCCGACTTCGGGCCCTGCGCAGGACAGAAAGAGAGGTGGCGTTACGCGGCTATGCGGGTCAGGCGCCCTCCACGCGGCACACCGGCTCTTCACATCCGAGGTGTAGCGGGCCACCTTGACTGGTGGGGCCCAGTCTAACCCCATGCCACAGGATACAGTCCAACCTCCTGACGCAAGGCGACAGGCCTGACCTCGCAACTCCCAGGCCAGGCCTCTTCGACCTGGCAGGCTGTCCGCCTTCTGAAGACGGTCGGTGGCACCTGGCCTGCCTCGCTGCAGCCGCAGCCCCCGGCCTGACCGGGAGGTCGTGGACCTCGCCTGACCTCTTGGCACATGGCGCGCCGCAGCGTCTCCATGGCGTCGCTGTTGCTGAGCCCCAGCAGGGCCGTGTAGTTGACGTCGATCAGTTGGTCGTTGCGCTGCAAGCGGCCGTCCTTGCTGGCGGCACCGCCGTGAATAACGTTTTTGATGTAGATGCCCACGTCCAGCGGGCCGCTATGGCCGGCCGTCGTCTTGCCCTTGACACTGATACCTGGCGGCGGCGCGCGGCGCGCTCACGGCGCTATCTCTTCCGCTGTTTCAGCGCGCACCAGACACCAGCTGGCTGGTGGGGCGCGCCTCGGTGGCAAGTGAGCACACAACTGACGGCTCAAACATTGAGAGATGGGGGGAGTGTGCGTGTGCGTGTGCGTGTGCGTGTGCGTGTGCGTGTGCGTGTGCGTGTGCGCGCGTGCGTAAGTGCGTGCATACGTGCGTAAGTGCGTGCGTGAGTGAGTGATGCGTAAGTGAGCGCATGAGTGAGTGAGTGAGTGATGCGTAAATGCGCGCGTGAGTGAGTGCGTGAGTGAGTGAGTGAGTGAGTGAGTGAGTGAGTGAGTGAGTGAGTGAGTGAGTGAGTGGAGTGAGTGAGTGAGTGAGTGAGTGAGTGAGTGAGTGAGTGAGTGAGTGAGTGAGTGAGTGAGTGAGTGAGTGAGTGAGTGAGTGAATGGGTGCGTGAGTGAGTGAGTGAGTGCGTGAGTGAGTGAGTGAGTGAGTGAGTGAGTGAGTGAGTGAGTGAGTGAGTGAGTGAGTGCGTGAGTGAGTGGGTGAGCGAGAGAGCTGTATGGGGACCAGAAAGAACACAATTGACGGCATACCGAGTGAGACAAGAAATATCAAACGGCATCGATAGGTGCAGACGGCACGAACGCGCACACGAAAAGGCGAACCAGCACCAGGGCAGCCATGCCTGTGCAAAGAGAACTGCTCGAGGCAGGTACTCAGCCAGACCCAGATGGCCGCCGGGAGGCGCGGCATGAGCCTGGCGCGCTCACCGAGGCCGGCTCGCTCCGAGTCGTGCACGGGGATGTCGAACACGAGGACCTCCTTGTCGCGGGAGGGCTCCGACTCGTCCGGCTCGCGGTGGTCGGCCGGCTGCGCGACGCACGAGGCTGTCAGCACACCCTCGGCTGGCCGCTTCGACGGCCACGCCAGCGCTTACCACGGAGCGGGGGACGGGGGGGGGCGGAGGGGAGGGGGGGGGGGGCAGCACCGAGCTCACTGTCAAGACGAAGCTGCCGGCACAGCACATTTTGGTCTTGTTTCAGGAGGCTGATAGCGCCGATCCGAGAGGATCTATTAAAGCCATAAATAGCGCACACTACTCGTCAAATGCACACTGAGCTCTACACTTCTCTTAAGATTACATTTATGCTCTATCTCAGGGCACTACACGGCTGACGGGATGTGGCGCGGCGGCAGGCGCTCGCCGTCGGCCGGCCACTCACCAGCGGCCGCGGCAGCTTGGGGCTGGCGTCCTCCTGTCGTGGCGCGAGAGCACGAGCTCGACGGGCTGGGCCGGTCGCACGGCGCGCAGCATGTGCACCACCTGGCGCTGGCTGAGTCCGGTGACGGCGACGCCGTCGATCTCCAGTAGCCGGTCCCCCGGCCGTAAGCGGCCGTCCTCCACCGCCGCGCCCTGCCCCCGCGTCCCGGCGTCAGACGGCGGCTCGCGCGGCCCCGCGGGAGGCGCCCGCCGTCCGGCCAGCAATGCTCCGGCAGGCAGCGTCCGCGGCGTCGCCCCACACGGCGAGGAGCGCGGCCCACGCACAGTCAGAAGTGACATGGCCGGCTGCCGTGCAGGCCATGGTGTGCCTGTCCCCGTTGGCTGTGGTCGTGCGCCCACTCTCACACCAGTTACATTGGCAGTGCGCAGCCCCCTTATGGCATAATGGTAGCTAGCAAAGCTCAATTGCGTGCCACGTAACAGACGATCACAAATGCCGTTTTCACCAATGACATGTTTGGCTGTACAACCAGCTTAATGGAAACCACACATCACGGTAAGTATGCATCGGTTTTCAGGACGCCCCTCAAAGACCCTACCAGTTTCTAATTCCATCTACTCGGCTGACACAGGCAGGTCCGCACGCCACCCTGCAACGAAGCCTGCCTCTTCCGCGCCTCACTTTGCCAGACCTGAATCAAACCCCGTGGCGTGGCGTGGCACGAGTCGCGACCTCGGCGTAGCCTGTGCCACGTCCTGCCCGCCTCCCCTCGTGAGCCCCGGCGTGGCCGGCTCACCTGCGGCAGGATGTTCTTGACGTAGACGGGCGCGTGTGCGCCGGCCGGGTTGTCGCGCGTCGTCACGCTGAAGCCCAGGCCGTCGGCGCCCTTGACCAGCGCCACCGACAGCCGGCGGCCCCAGCTTGCGCGTGTTGGACGTCTGCATGACGCTCTGCGTGCGCGACGACAGCGAGGCCGGCACCTTCTTGGTGGGCGAGACGGTGGCGACGCGCGAGCCGCCGCCTGCCGAGACGGAGGCCGGTCACACCCGGGCGGCGCGCGGCGACGCAGGTCACGTCCGCCCTCCGGCCTCGCCCCCAGCCTCCGCGCCACGGCAGCCCCAGTCGAGAGCAAGCGCCGCTGTCGCGGTGCCAAACATGCCAAGTCAGTGATGAGCGGGTCGATGACCGCCGCGAGGGCCAACAAAAACCCCTGACGGCTGGCCGGAGCCGTGCGGCATTCCCGTCCGCCGCATCTGTCTTCGGCACGGCTGCCGGAACGCCACACTGCCCTGCATTCCGGCGCGTTTACAAGCGCTGTCTCCCATCTGGGTCGCTGCGGCTGTCGCCAGCCGACCCCGGGGTGGCTGACTGACCTCTGGCGTCGCCGTCGAGTGCGTCGATGGGCGTGTGCGAGCGAGAGAGCGCGGCCGCCGGCGCCGGCGGCTGCGAGCGGCCCGGCACGTGCTCCACCAGCAGTCGCAGATCGCCGCCGCTCATCGCGCTCACGAAGATCTCCTGCGCCCTACGCGACCGAGCCGCAGCGTCAGGTCCGGCTGTCACGCGTCCGGTGCTCAGCCGGGCGTCGACGCTGAAGGCTCGACGACACGTGTCGCGAGGGGCAGGGGCTGGCGGGACGCGCAGCCGGAGGGAATCTGACCGGGACCTGGGCCACGGGGCACGCCGCGCGCGCGTGAACACCACTTCCTACACGGTAAAGACTAACACAGGACAGCCGCAACACACAGGAAACATGTACGAAGCAGTCCAATCCCAGCCAGCTAACGCCACAGCCGGCACTGTGACGATGCCAGTCGTTCGATGGACCTGCCACAAAGCAGGCTTGTAGTGGAAGCGTGGGGTCGTTTGGGGTCTCATGCTCTGAAATTGTGGCAGCAAGGACGTGGAAACTATCGGAGGCGGTTGTTTCATTGCGTCAGGTTCATTACTTTTTCATATTTTTGGAACCAGAATAATTATAGAGCCAGAGTCGGTTAAAATCATGGGCTATACACACCACACCTATGCAACTAATATAAGAAGGAACTTAAAGCGGCGAAAATTGGAACGTGAACTAAGGACAGCACGAGCGTTAACGCGACACACGCCATAGAAGGACTGTTCCAAAAAGGACAAATGCGGCCCAACCAACTACAACAAACGCGCTGCAAAGTTCGTGAAAGGCCAGCTCCTGTCACGAATCTAACCGGATCAAACAGAAACCAGAAGTGCCCCGTCACTGCCGTCGCTGCGCCGCCGCTGGCCAGCGGCCACACCGCTGGCGGGTGGGAGTGGTGAGCCCGCCCGCCGCACCTCTGGAAGCTGATGTTACGCAGGCTGTGGCCGTTGATCTGCACGATGCGGTCGCCGACGGAGACGCGTCCGTCGCGCCGCACCGCGCCGTCCGGCTCCACCCGTTGCACGTGCAGGCCCGCGTCGCGACCGCTCTCGTCACACTCCGGCACCACGTGGATCCCTGGCGGACGGACACGCGTCAGGGTCGGCGCGTCACGACAGGCCACGGGCTTCTATTTGTATGCGAGGGTCGGCCAGCACTGTTCGCCTCTGGGATGCCTGCCACCGGGGCACTGCTGCAACGTCGTGCCCTAACACTGCAGCACACAGTACTTCATGTAAACGTAACCAAACTTGGTCAGAGATGCCAGTAAATTTTGGGGGGAAGCAGCCTATTCGTGGTTTCATCGGACAGATGCATTGCAAACGGCCACCGGCAGACGGCCAGAACTCACCGAGGGGCCCGGAGACGTCAGTCAGGACCACCAGCTGCTGCTGCTGCTGCTGCTGGGGTGGCGGCCACCTGGTATCCTCGTACGAGACGTCTGGCGAGCCGTTGGAGCCCCCCACCGGCTCCCATCGCGGCGTCTGCGGGCTGACCAGACGGTCGGCCGCCTCCGCCCACCTGCCGACCGGCCCCACACGTCACTCCCCAGTCTTCGCTCCATCTCCGCTCAGCGCGTTCCCTTCGCAGCGCAGGCTCACCGCTCGCCTTGTTCCCCTCTCTCCTTCGACACGCTTCACATTCCATCCGCTCACCTCACCTTCCTCAGCTTGGGCTCATCTCACCTCCCTTTTTCCTCTCGCCATCGTGCATACCCTCACTACGCTCCGGCCCGGCTATATTTACCTCATCGGCCTACTTTTTCGATGTCCCAGCCAGCCTACCGCGTCTCCGGGCGAGCACATCCTTGTTGTTGCCACCGCTTGAAGTCTAAAACAAGCGCAAGTACTTGATACACATACCCGACCAGCCATACCACACACCGTACTATCGGAAAACTGCCGTCACACAGCTTCAATCCCTTACAGAAGAGACGGTCCGGTTTCGTTCCGGTCCGGTCTGGCCGGTCCTATCCACCGGACAAGTACGATGGCAGCCTGACGACCCCCCTCCCCCCCCCCCCGTCTCCGTGGCCTTTGGTGCACTCCAGGCTGGTGCGGGCTACACCGCCCGACACTCCTCCGACAGCGTCCGTCGCTTTCCCCGCAGGGCCGCGTGATGTGACCTGAAGTGGCCTGGCCAGAGGGCGAGAGGTCTGGGACCTCCGCGACTCCCCTCCCAGCCAATGGGTGTCCTCTACACCTTAGTGTGGTGCCTCGAATGGGACGCTTCGCTGTATCTGAGTGCAGCATGGTGACCGTGGCGCCTCCAATGAGGCGGCGCCGACGGACGCCAAACCCAGACCAACCGCCGAATGGCGCCCAGGCAGATCGCCCAACCGTTTGTCAAAAACCACTGACTTAACGTTCATGAACTAAAGCATCAGACTCGTTATAAGCCTAAAATAGGGAGTGCCCCTTCTCCTGCTACATTTGCTTGCTTTAGTCTCCTATGTACTAAGGAAGAACCTCAAACGGGGCCAACAGGCGGCACGGGGAGGTATGACAAGCTATGGAGAATGCACACGGCGAGGGGAAACAGCTAGCGCTGACCATTTTTGGATTGGCATGTTTGGCAACGCGCTATAGTTTAAATAATAACGTACATAAATAGGTCTGCGGCCACGCGTCCCCACGCGCCTAAGCTGATCTACACCAGCTGAGGCAGGAAACGCCAACACAACATAATGTAGAGCATACAGAGCGTTACAGAGAGGAAACGTTATTACCACGGAAGCGAACAGTTATGAGTTGACCACAGCAAACGCACGTGATACTGTGCCCTGTCCAAATCGTTCCGACAGACGGGATACCGGTGTTCCGTCCCTCCACATACAGTGCGCCCTTTGCCAACGCATGCTCGGTCGCACGGCTCCACGGCACCACTAGCATTTCCGTCGTACACCCACATTGCGTCGGGCGCCGCAGCTTCAGCTAATCCCACGTAGCTTTCGACGTCTGACACCTGTACAATGTGCCCGTTGCTTGCTAGTCAGATGACCGGTCAGGATGAGACAAGCTCCAGGACTACAACAATGCCCGCGTCACGGCGGCCCCTGGGCCTGAGAAAGACCACCTCCCCGCGTGCCCCTATCTGTAACCCCAACAGAGGCGCCAGCGGCCGAGCCACGCCGGCTGCCCAGCCTCCAGTCACGCACCTCCATATGCCGTCGCTGTTGCCGCCGACCTGCATGGAGAGCCGGTTGGCGTCGCGGGCGAGGCGCGAGAACGGCGGCCGGTCGCGCTCGTCGCCCGACGCCTCCTCCCGCTCGCCCGGCGGCGTCAGCTGCTCGAAACTCGTGTCCTGCGGAGGGGAGGCCGTGTCACGGGGGGCAGGCGCCGACCCGTCGGGATCGTCACGGCGTCGCCGGCACGGGTGGCCGGTAGACGCAGAAAATGCGACCACAAGACGGCTCTGTGCTTTCTCATGCGCTAATGCCGACATCATCTGTTGTTTTTTTTCAGTTAACTGCGATGTAATGATTGACGCTGTGTAAATACTTCAATAAAACCAATAGTATGACAATGCACGGACGTTGTTCGGAAGCCTCAAGCTTGTTCGGTCCAGCCCGACTGGTGCTCTGTGTCGCGTCATCGCAGCATTCGACAATCTATTCCGGCCTACCCGGTCAGGAGACGGACCGCACACGCATTGCAGCCCCACCAGTCGTGTGAGGCCACCGGCGGAAGGACAAGCAGACCGCACACCGAACCCCCGCACGGCCACTGCACCCAGGCGCGCCGCCGCCGCCGTCAGCCACTGTCGCAGGACCCAGCTGCGGGAGGCGCGGGTCGACCGGCAGACGGCGGCCGCATCAAGGCGGCCGGCCGCTCCGGTCCCGCTGACAGCTGGGACAGGCCGGTCGGGCCGACCGAGCCCAGCCGGCGCGGCCGGCCACGGTCTCCGTGTAACGGCCCGGCCCGGGCCGCGCGCACGCCCACCGCTCGGCCGCCGCCGCCACCGCCCCGAGCAGGTCGCGCGGACGAACCTTGCCCCGGGACAGGCCGCCGGCGGTGCGCAGCGCCGACGCCGGCAGCCAGCGTGACGGCCTGGTGCGTGTCCGACGGCTCGGCAGTGCGTCACCGGCTGCCTGCTCTGGCGGCTGCCGAGTTCGGGCGGAGCACGCGGGTCCGCCACCAGACACGTGGGCCCACAACCAGTGCCGACGGGTCCAACTCGAGACTACACACCGCCGCGGCTGTTAACAGTGGCCAAACGGGGCCGACGCCTCCACATTGGCATGGGAAAGGTGACCATAGCAGGCGTCACACAGGATATCTAATGCTTTCGTTTTTACGAAGGTTTACATGAAAGAAGAGCCTGCTTGAAAAAGGTCCGTCGAAAGCAAGGTATGCCACCAGTTGTGCGCAAGACGTCCTAATGCCAAAAAAGCCTTGCATGACCGTTGGTTGATCCTTGCATGACGCTGCCCATTGGGCCTTACACTTGCGGCAACCTTCCGATACCACGCGTAAGACCCAACAACGCGTCACAAACCGCCGAATTGCCTTCTTCCGTTTTCGACGCGCGTGCCTTTGGGAATAAGGTCATCGCTCAGCGATCCCACACGGGGTGAAATCAGTACCTTAAGGCAAAATGTTGAACAGTCCGAAGCTCAGCTGAGCAAGATTTTAGCCTGTCCCGTTTACACGCTTCAGAGATGCCTGCATGACACCCGATCCAGGCAATGCACGTCATACAGGCAAAATCGCACGGCTCCTGTGCGGAAAACGTGCCGTGCCTCCTTCCGTCCCAGCACCGCGACCAGGCAAACTATTTTGCCGCCAAACATACCAAACCGCTAACTGTGCAGTTCACAAATCAAGTACGAGAAATAGTTTGTCAACGACGTTTGCTCACGGGACGCAGGGAGTAATCGACGAGCGTGACATCTTGGACTATGAAAAGGCGCTCCCCTCCCCCCCCCCCCCCCCCCCCCCGATGGTCGTCTACGGCTGATCACTTCTCAATGAAAAACTATTCCAAGAATTAACAACATACCGCTATCAAAATATTGCCTAAATTGGAATTTTTACAAGGTCTCTCAAACCATCCGTGAAGCTCCCAAATGCTTCACGAAGACGAGTAATGCTCCCACGTCAAGGTCCCCATGAACACGCGTAATGTTTCTAAGAAGTGTGTTTGCAAACACTTCATTAGATAAGTCAGGAGAAAAAATTTAAACAACAGTCGCTGCTGACCGTAGACGCGTGAATTCGGTGTACAAAAAAATGGTTGGAGTGACGAGTGCAAGCCAACAATCCACGAAGTGTAACGGAAGTAGGTTCCATACCGCAAACCTCAAGGACAACGGTGATGTCAACACAGACTTCAGCTCCATAAAGAACGTATGTCAAACCCCAACGCATGCCTTCCCTCTACGCCCAGACCAGACCAATCCATCACGCCCCAATCGAGTCCCTATGACAGTGAGGTGACTCGTGCTGTCGTGCCCTACACAACACGTGGGGGGGGGGGGGCGCCGAACAGGCCGGCACGTGACCTGCCATCACCTGTCACTTGGAGATGCCACTCAGAAAACCCCCGGGAGCTACGAAGCCACAGCCAAGTACGTTTCTGAGCGTGCTGCTGACCTTGATCGGGGTCGAACTGGCCACGATCTGGTTGTCAATGATGGGCGCGGCCGACCACCGTTTGCTGGCGTCGGCGCACAGGTCCGGCGGGAACTGCGGCAGCGGGCACACCTGGTTCAGCGCCGGCTCACTGCCGCGCCGCACCTGCCGGGCACACGCACGCGCTCACACCCGACCGGTTACAGACAGAGCCCGAGCTAGGGCTGGCTCACTGCAGTGTCTGCCGACACACGCACGCGCTCACACCCGACCGGTCAGACAGAGCCCGAGCTAGGGCTGGCTCACTGCAGTGTCTGCCGGCACACGCACGCGCTCACACCCGACCGGTCAGACAGAGCCCGAGCTAGGGCTGGCTCACTGCAGTGTCTGCCGGGCACACGCACGCGCTCACACCCGACCGGTCACAGACAGAACCCGAGCTAGGGCTGGCTCACTGCAGTGTCTACCGGCACACGCACGCGCTCACACCCGACCGGTCACAGACAGAGCCCGAGCTAGGGCTGGCTCACTGCAGTGTCTGCCGGCACATGCACGCGCTCACACCCGACCTTTCACAGACAAAGCCGAGCTAGGGCTGGCTCATGCTGCCGTTGCCACACGCACGCGCTCACTACCCGACCGGTCACAGGTAGAGCCCGAGTAGGGCTGGCTCACTGCAGTTCTGCCACGCACGCGCGACACCGGACCGGTCACAGACAGAGCCCGAGCTAGGGCTGGCTCACTGCAGTGTCCGCTGCCAAGCACGCGCTCACTGACCGGTCACATCGCACTACTCACTGCGCTCCGGCACACCCGTCACCGACCGTCACAGGTAGAGCCCGAGCTAGGGCTGGCTCACTGCAGTGTCTGCCGACACACGCACGCGCTGACACCGGACCAGTCACAGACAGAGCCCGAGCTAGGGCTGGCTCACTGCAGTGTCTGCCGGCACACGCCTTCATCAGCGACATCGCCAGGTAGCCGGGGCCAGGATTCACTACTCCTCACCATTCGGGGACGCCAAAGCGGGCGGCAACTTGAGATTTAATCCCGAGTGACAAACGACAGCATGGGGCGGGGAGAAACGCGGATTGGACATGGAACGTGCTGCGTTAGAGTGGGAGCGTGGCACGTAGGGAGTGTGCGTTGTCATGACGCAGTAGCGACCGCGATGGTTATCTGTAGCCATAACTCGAACTGACATCCTTTAACATGCGGACGCTAAACACCGCCACCGCCGTGCATCAGACGGCCTTCACCAGCCAGAGGGCGCCGCCCATTGGCGGGCCGTACCTGAAGCGAGCAGGCAGGCGCCTGCTGACCGCTGACCTCAATGTCCATCCGGGAAAACCGCTGCATGTCGTGATCCCCGCCCTGAAACAGGAGGGGGGGGGGGGGGCGAGCGACTGGCTCAATGGGCGGCGCTCGGTGTCGACAGGTCGGAGACTGGGGCTCGGGGCTCTGGGGACCCGACCGGCTTCCTGACGCGACCACAGGACCAAATCAACGGCTGGTGCGTCGACGCTAGTGTAGACAAATCGCAGATAAAGATGCCCATTTTCTCGGCTTACGTAGGAAGGAATGGCAGAAAGGTTTTACCGCATTAGCAGGAAAACTCAATGCCAATATTAGTAGTAGAGGCCTGCGGCTGGTGACTGTGTGCAGTGCATATCCCAGCACTCTGTCCTTGGTCAATTGTCCTTGGTTCAGCATGACCGCTGAGAACATACGAGGGTACCATCACCGTTGTACAACCAGGGTCGGATGTCCATGTTCTGCCATGGTTCAACCAGCCACAATTTAGTGTTTCGGCCGCGCGAGACGTTGCCCCCCACCTGGGTCACGCCAGGCTCGGTGCCCACTCTAGTGTTTCGGCCGCGCGAGACGTTGTTCCCTACCTGGGCCACGCCAGGCTCGGTGCCCACTCTAGTGTCTCGGCCACGCGAAACGTTGTTCCCTACCTGGGCCACGCCAGGCTCGGTGCCCACTCTAGTGTCTCGGCCACGCAAAACGTTGTTCCCCACCTGGGCCACGCCAGGCTCGGTGCCCACTCTAGTGTCTCGGCCACGCGAAACGTTGTTCCCTACCTGGGCCACGCCAGGCTCGGTGCCCACTCTAGTGCCTCGGCCGCGCGAGACGTTGTCTCCCACCTAGACCACGCTAGGCTCGGTGCCCACTGCGAAGTCTCTCGCCAGTCCCGCCTGCCTGTGTGTAACGAGAACCCGTCGGAACAACAGGGGAGCCCGAGGGGAGCCCGAGAGAGCTCAGGGGCCGCTCACCCCGGACCCGGGACGATTGCGTCGCCCGCCGCCAGGCGCGCGGGGCAGATGACTGCTGTCACGCAGGAGAGCGTCACGCGGCGCCCAGCCCTGTACCGATGGCGGTGGCACAACGCGGCCCTGGCTGACCCAGAGACGGGACAGCTTCCCTCGTAAGCCCGCACCGGACGGCATGAGCATCGGTCAGTTATATGCGTAAGTCCTTGAAAAACATTGCTAAAGCAAATCATATAGACAGCCGAGGGGCACTCAGGCAGACGGGTGGTGTGTACTGAGTTGTCATGCTTTAAAAAGGTTGGGGCACCATGCCTCTTAGAACGTGTGAGGCCACCGCACTGATTAGCTACGATACATACAGTATGGTTAAATCGTGTCGAATTATTCATTTGCTGACGTTTCGTTACCCCCGCTGTACAAAAACTACTAACCTTATTACCAGCAGCTCATGCGCTACCTGGTAGCTCTACGCTAGCTCCGTCGCTGTACCAGTACCTAACGCTACTACCCCCCAGCCGTGACAAAACTACTAACCTTATTACCAGCAGCTTATGCGCTACCTAGTAGCTCCACGCTAGCTCCGTCGCTGTGCCAGTACCTAACGCTACTACCCCCCAGCTGTGACAAAAACAGCCAACAGGGGAGCTCCTACTGGAGTCATTGGAGGGCGCTGGTAGCGCACTCCAATAACTCGTGTTTTGACATCCCTGAACGCCCAAGTCAAACACCACACATTACTTGGATTGCTCACTGATTATTAGGAGGATAGCGCCTAATGCCGATGGCACCTTTCATGCCGCCACACTCCTGGCCCAACACTAGATATTCAGGTCACTCGCAAATACTGTTCCATTAGCGATCCGGGACGCGCACCCACAGGCTGCGCCCAGAGATGTCGTGCCCAACTGGCGACGTCGCAGCCGAGTTGGTGCCGCTCGCTGCCGAGGTGCCCGCGGGCCCGGTTCACCTGCCAAGCCACACTGCCGGACTGCCGGTCCACACCAGACCGACGGACTGCCGGTCCAGACTACCAGACTGTCAGACTGCTGGGCCAGACTGCCAGACTGTCAGACCGTCAAACCGTCAGGCCGTCAGATTACCCGGCTGTCAGACTCTAAGACTCAGACTGCCAGGCCACTTCAATCTGCCGCTGAGCACGCCGTACCGGCTGAGCCGCGGCGACCGTAGGCTGGCGGGCCGCTCCAGCCTTCGGTCGGCGGGTGGAGCGTCCGGTCCGCAGGTCACCTGGGCAGGTCAGGCCGGCCCTCTATCGGCTGTCCGCGTGTGATCACAAACATCCCCGGCCAACGGCGCGTCAGCCGCCGCCGGCACGAGACGCGGTCGGCGGCGCTTCCGCCGCAGCACGGCCTGCGTCTTGCGGGGCAGCGGACCATTGGACGTTCAGTAGCGCCGCCCCGGCGCCGGGTCCCAACGCCGGGAGCCGGCCGACGGCAGAGCGGTAGCCGCTGCGGCCGGCCGCTGACGGACGGCGACCGCCCGCCGCGCGGTGACAGGTGGCAGGCGCCGGGCCACCCGCCGCCGCCGCCGCCGCCGCCGGTCCCGTCCCGCGCCGTCCCGCCCGCCCACACTGTCCTCCGCCCGAAGACATTGTGTCCCACGGTCTCCGGAGCGGCGGGCCTGTCGCAGGCGGGCAGCGGCAGACTCGCCGGCGGGGAGCCCGGCCGACCGCCGAATGGCGATATACCGTCCCTTAAGGCCGATTTGGGCCTGTGTCATTCTCTCTGATCGAGAAATAAATTATGACTTCTGGGAGCAGTTTTCAACCACCAGCGAACCACAAAAAACAGAAATATTGAGACGTCTACCACTGATCTTTGGCCGTGACGCTGTGAACTAAAGTGCTACCATAAATGAAGTACCACTTTGCATTATTTGCCTCGCACTAGAATGCTAAACGGACTGCAGAAGGGAGTGCGCTGGAATCTTCGGCGTATTCGACTCAAGTACGTTTTTTCGGTGGACTCCTTGCCTTAGTGAGGTTCACAATGCATACATACTTCCAAAATTACAGGCAGTTGTCCGCATAACTAGCTGATCCATGTCCGCTGGCTAAGCAGCTGGCACGACAAACATGATCTATTGCGAGACATGTGTCAGCGGAACAGCTTACAACCGTACGATGAAAAGACATCTTGTCTCATACCAGTGCGCAATTTATGGGCATTAAACGCGCAAAAGTAGACAAGCTTTAATCGAAACCACGTCTGCTGACGCCGTCACATCTAAGTTAGCACCTAGCTCTCTACCCTCGAAGCAGGCTGGGCAAGGTCTGACTCCGACGTCATTCTGACGCAAAAGCTGACAAGCGTTTTGTTGAGAAACCTTTTCCGTAGCTCTGTGCGCCGGGGCGGCTGCCGAGCCAAGACGCCCCTCCGCAACGTCAAGATCCCACGCCAGTCTCACAGGGCGGAGGGGCTGCCGTTACCAGTCCCACGGGACAGACGGGCTGCCGCTGCCAGTCCCCCGGGACAGAGGGGCTGCCGCTGCCAGTCCCCCGGGACAGAGGGGCTGCCGCTGCCAGTCCCCCGGGACAGAGGGGCTGCCGCTGCCAGTCCCCCGGGAAAGAGGGGCTGCCGCTGCCAGTCCCCCGGGACAGACGGGCTGCCGCTGCCAGTCCCCCGGGACAGAGGGGCTGCCGCTGCCAGTCCCCCGGGACAGAGGGGCTGCCGCTGCCAGTCCCCCGGACAGACGGGCTGCCGCTGCCAGTCCCCCGGGACAGAGGGGCTGCCGCTGCCTCCCCCGGGACAGAGGGGCTGCCGCTGCCAGTCCCCCGGGACAGAGGGGCTGCCGCTGCCAGTCCCCCGGGACAGAGGGGCTGCCGCTGCCAGTCCCCCGGGAAAGAGGGGCTGCCGCTGCCAGTCCCCCGGGACAGACGGGCTGCCGCTGCCAGTCCCCCGGGACAGAGGGCTGCCGCTGCCAGTCCCCCGGGACAGAGGGGCTGCCGCTGCCAGTCCCCCGGGACAGAGGGGCTGCCGCTGCCAGTCCCCCGGGAAGAGGGGCTGCCGCTGCCAGTCCCCCGGGAAGAAGGGGCTGCCGCTGCCAGTCCCCCGGGAAGAGGGGCTGCCGTTACCAGTCCCCCGGGACAGAGGGGCTGCCGCTGCCAGTCCCCCGGGACAGAGGGGCTGCCGCTGCCAGTCCCCCGGGACAGAGGGGCTGCCGCTGCCAGTCCCCCGGGACAGAGGGGCTGCCGCTGCCAGTCCCCCGGGACAGAAGGGGCTGCCGCTGCCAGTCCCCCGGGACAGAAGGGGCAGTCACCGCCAGCCCCTGGGGCAGAGGGGGCTGCCGCTGCCAGTCCCCCGGGACAGAGGGGCTGCCGCTGCCAGTCCCCCGGGACAGAAGGGGCTGCCGCTGCCAGTCCCCCGGGACAGAGGGGCTGCCGCTGCCAGTCCCCTGGGGCAGAGGGGGCTGCCGCTGCCAGTCCCCCGGGACAGAAGGGGCTGCCGCTGCCAGTCCCCCGGGACAGAAGGGGCAGTCACCGCCAGCCCCTGGGGCAGAGGGGGCTGCCGCTGCCAGTCCCCAGGGACAGAAGGGGCTGCCGCTGCCAGTCCCCCGGGACAGAAGGGGCAGTCACCGCCAGCCCCTGGGGCAGAGGGGGCAGTCACTGCCAGTCCCCCAGGGCGGAGGGGGAGTCGCTGCCAGTCCGCCACGGCAGAGGGAAGCAGTCGCCGCCAGCCCCATGGGGCAGCAGCGACAGCCATTGTCATACTCCTGGGGCGGCGGGGACGGCGGGGACGGCGGAGACTCGCCCCAAGAGAGCCCGTTCCCACCAGCGGACGGCATCGGATAAAATGCAGGCACGGTTGCCGCCCTCGAACGTAGCATCCGACCCATTACCTCCTCGGCAGCGCTGGCACGTTAAGCGCACCAATAACGCCAACCGCAGACCGGACCGCAGGAGTGGTCCGCGCTGACTTCACCGGCACACGCTCCGGCATCAGGGCTCAGAGCTCCGGCACTATCGACAGTCCCGCCCGAGCGGAAAACACGAACGCCTTCAAACCCAGGGGCATTGTGGGCCAGAGGTCTCCGAGAACGGGAATCCAACTCCGGAAGTGGCCAGGACGGACAACGTTACAATCTACCAATGGGAGGGCGACGCCAGCGGGTATCGCGAGACATAGGTACCACTCGTGCTCCCACGGCTGGGCCGGCGCACCGGCCGTCACCTACCGTGAGGGGGACGGGGCTGGCCGTGCCGTCCGAGCTGCCAGAGGTGCCGTCGCCGCCGCCGTGCGGAGCGGCCCGGCCGCCATGTTCCTCATACACGGCCACGATCTGCTCGCGGTCGTCGGCCACGTCGCTCAGCCGGTCGTCCGGGTCCAGCAGGCCGCCGTCCACCGACTTGAGCGAGTGCACAGTCACCCACGAGTCGGACGGCTGCAATGGCATGGGCGGCGTCAGCGCATGGGAGTGGGGCGGCATGGGCGGCGCACAGATACGGGTGCGGAACAGAGGCGGTGGCAGGGGCTGTGTACGGGCCCGGATGGAGGCAGAGGCATGGTCCAGCCACACAAAGGCCGATCATGGTGGGAAGTCACGTGCCCACAGGAAATCATGTGGTGGAATCAGATGGTGGGCCCGCGGACAGGATGGGGGCATTTGTCACCCACAAACAAAAATCCATACTGCTTTGCCAGAGGAAAATAGTCAGGTCAAGCATCGCGTGACGCATAAAATTATCAAACACAGACGAATGTACTCGCTTGTCCAGTACCAGCAGGTTATCTCAACGGAACTTCCAAAATGGCGAGGACGTAGCGGCTCGTGGGACAGACAAGGACCGATCGGTGACAAACAGGAGCAACAAGTTACGTAACGGGCACTTTTCAGCTCCAACGCTTGGTAAATTACACGATGTGAGTGCCTGCTCAGCCAAATGTTCAAAACGTTTGGCTATTCACCTAAACTGAAGAGCACCATGCCTCAGACCTGGACATTTAAACCACGCCACTACGAGCTGTATGGCCGCCGCTTGTCTGCTGGCTCCCGTGGGCGAAAACGCCCGCTGCGGACGGCGCTGCCGCGGCGGCGGGAGTCGATGCTGAGATCGCCCCGCCGTCCGGCCGGCGCTCGCCCGTCGCCGGCACCAGGCGCCGTCCGGCCGTGCCGGTGCGCCGGACGTCACTGTTACCGACCCCGGTCGACACGCGGACAATGGCGGTCGAGCGCCGACCGATCGCTATCGACTGGCTGCTCTCATCTGTCCGGGCGGACCGGTGCCGGCCCCGGGGCCAGCCTCCCGGCGGCCGACCGATGTCAGCAAGCAGCTGGTCCGACGGCCTCCACGCGCGAGCCGCAGTCACGCCGGAGGCCGGCACTCAGACCCGCAGCCCATGACCGCAGCCCGAGCCTCCGGCGCCCCGCTCGACCCGCAAGACGAGCCCGCAGCGTGACGCATCGACACATGCCCGGCTGGTGATTGTTGTTGTTGTTCATTGGTGTTTTCGGGCGCGTCGACTGCAGCGGTCATTTTGGGCGACGGCCGCCAACTGAACAGTGTGCGGTGAGGCCCGGAGACGGACGGCCGCGGCCGGCCCGCACGCAGCAGCCAGGCTGGCTGTGACCGTCAGAGTACAGCTCTGTGTCGAGCCAGCGAGGCAAGCCGCAGCGCAAGCTCCACCGCCGCGATATGAAGTCTGGAATGGGTGCGCACCAGCAATGAGCCTGGTCCCCAGATCGCTTCCCGAGAACTGGTTCCTGGTTTCTGATTTCGGAATCGGCAACCTGTCCGGAATAAGGTCAAGAAAGCCAACAGCAACCACAATCCAGCCTGATATTCGACTGACAGATCCAGCAAGAGCCAGTATCCAGCCTGCCAGTCAGCCGAAAGAGCAAGCGATGATCAGTGCCATGTAGTTCCTGGTTTGAGAGCACCAATAACAACCAACAACTATCATGGGATACACCCAGGCATCCAACAGTAACCAAGATCCAGCCTAACATTAAGTGGAACAATCCAGCAAGGACCAGGACCCTGTATGGAACAGGCAGAGATCCCAGAAGAACCAAGATGCAACCCACCATTAGCTGAGATCCAGCAAGAGCTAATACCTAGACTGAAGTGATGTCAAAGGAAGCGATAAGAACCACAATTTTACCTGACATCCTTGTCAGCCTTTGGTGGATGGGCAGGAAAATGGCTAAGCCTGCTTCCAAAATACGTCAAAAGGATCCTCAAAATCCACTTCCGTCTGAAAGTTAAGAGGGCTGAGGGCACCCAAACAGATATGAAACCACATTCATAGTGTTCCTTACAGGTGATAAAAAATGGAAACTAAGCACACCAACCTTTCTACAAGATCGTTCCAAATTTCAAATTTGGCTGCAACCCCGTCCCGACGAGATTTTTCCAAGATATTACGCGGCTTGAAGAGTGGAAAATGGCGAATGCACTTATGTGAATTTGTCCATTTCCTGCACTCATGTAACCTTGCAGTTATGGTTTAAAAATTTATTTTTGGCACCTCCGACATTAGCTTCACTCCAAGGCCGGTCCACCTACTGGAATGTCTGCAGACATGGACCATTACTACCTGTCAATAAGTCCTCTTTCTTAATACTGACTCGATCCTTTCAAACCCAACAATTCTCTCAGCTGCTCCCAACAGAGGTCATCAAAAACACCCATGACTCCATCTTGGAAACAAGACCAGAAGTAACGAACCAAAACGCATAGGAAAATGCCAGTATCCGACCTAACCTCTCATCGGCTGTATCTGTTCTACCCCAGGTACTAGGTATTGCCGAGCTGACCAAACAACGCTGACCCAACTTGATGACCTCGGCCAAATTGGGATTTTTTGGTCCACTTAATCAACTTTTTGCAAATAATCAGTAAACACTTGATTGTATTAATAAGAGAAGACTCTTCTTACCATAATGTATGCCTACAGATTAGAGTACGATGACCTGTACGTAAGGTATGTGATAATGTGCCCATGTCCCTCTTGAGGATGAGCTCAGCCCGAAATATTGAGTACTGCGAATAAAATCCTTGTTAAACACTACGAAGTGGTTTAACCGGTGTCTCCTGGTAAACTGAAGGTCATTAGCTCAACATCGTAACTTTGAACTCATAATGGCAAAAAACAAGGAGCTGGAGGCCTCTCCTTCTGCTATGTTGTTTTGTCGAAAGAACTGGTGGGAACCAGGATCTAGTGGCTTGTTTTGTCAAGAGAATCGGGGGAGCCAGGGCTTTGATTTGCCGAAAGAACTAGCGGGAACCACGATCCTACGTTCTGCTTTCTCGAAGAAAAAAAATGGAAACCAAGGTCCAAAGTCATGCTTCGCCGGCAGAACCAGGGAGGACCAGGATTTTGGGTTCGTTTTATCGAAAGAAAAAGTGGAAACCAAGATGGGGAGCATTACTTTGTCGAAGGGAACGCTAGGAGCCAGAAGCCAACATTGGGGACCGGGCGCATGTCTGGTGCGCACGATGCGTTCACGCACGATGCGTGTGCTTTTAGTATTGCATAGTGCGCACGCAGGTTCACTGCCAGACATCATTACCCACGCAGCCGCACAGCAGGCACCGTCCTCCGTCCCACGGAGGCCCGTAATACCCCACTCCCCTCCCTCCCCTACCTCGGCGAAAACCGCCGCCGACACCGCCAGCACGCGCCGTCGTGCAGCCCACGAGAGCCAGGCGATGTCGCGAAAGACTGAAACTTTTCGTGTTGGTATTGCATATCGCAAGGTTAGATTGGGTGCCAGCAAGATCCTTATCAGAGCGCGTACATAAAACGGGTGCATCAAAGCGGGTGTAACGGTGTATCTCTGGAAGATGGGTCACTTTATACTCGCATAAGTGATCGTACACTGGGCGTCACGCACACGCCTGCCCGCGTTATTACACAAGCCGGATGACTGGGGGAGAGGGGGGGGGGGGGATCAAGGGTGGAGTCGAAGGTCGAAGCGGTCGGCATCAAGGAGCAGCATTAAGGGTGAACACAGCTACCATGGCGGGTCACTTGCCGTGGGCACCTTTTAACACCCGGTCTCCTCTATCCTGCGGCCGGTCTGCCCCCTTCCACGGACTCAGGTTCATATGCTGGTCCCCGGGGAGAAGGGGGCGTTTAATTCTACCACGAAAAGCTAGGCTAGTCATAATGTTTGACGATGGGATGTGGTGTGCCTCGCCGTGGCAATCCATCCAATTCATCCGACCAATGCGCCCTATTTTTCTTGTTTTCATCATCCACAAAAATGAGGGCAACTGCCCTCCCCCCCCCCCCCAAAAAAAGGACAGTAGCACAACACTGTCACAGACAATTCATGCGAGGCACCAAGGATGGGGACCTGCATTCGAAATCACATTACCCATCCGCATACGAATTTTTGCGCACAAACTTCTATAACACGAACTTTGTCCCCGCGCAACATTTCGTATGTACACTGCGTATTTACATTATACATACGTATACGAACTCTTACGTACGTAGTTTTGTTGTACGAACTTTTTCACCGACGAACGTGGGCATACGAACAACTGCGGTCAACCTTTATACATTGCGAACTGTTGTTAACATTTTTACAATGCATACTTCAACTTGACAAGCATCAGGCATACTAACGTTATCCACTAACAATTGCTTATCCTGCTAACTAACAAACGTTATAACTAACGTTATCCACTAACTATATGAGCTTTTTTACCGTACTTTTGTTCGCAGCACTGACATAAAAACGTGGTCGATGTCAATTAAGGTCGCTGTTTTTTCCCTAATTTAACTTTCAACTGAGCTCAGTGACCTATGTTGGCCTTTGGACCACAATACATTCAGCACCAAATAAGCACCAAATTCTCGTCTGGGCAAGAATTTGGTGCTGATCCAGAGTGCACTTACCTAAAAGTTCATGAAAATAAGCCAGACAAGCCAAAGGCCAGATTGCAAGGTAACGAAAGCCCAAGGAGGTTACTTGCCCAATTGCTAAGTTTGGTTTATCACTGGGGAAAATCTACGTGGCTTTATAGGGGAAATAATTCAATGAGATAAACAAATACCAGCAACGATGCAAAATGTGATGAAGCAGTGATGAAAATGGAAACGTCAAAGGGCGATATCATTTGATGAACAAGATATGAGGACTTCAGGAAGACTACAGTATAACATGACGCTGGACACCCCAAGTTCATCTACATGATGCTTTAACATGAATATCACGTAAGGCTGTGAGTATTCTTCAAATTTTCACAAACTGGTTACGAACGGATACCAATCAGTGCCCTCCCTCCCCCCCCCCCCCCCCCCCTCCATGTGAGGGATCTGAAATAATCCATGTTAAAGGAGCTCAAACATAATATACAAAACCAGTGAATGGCTGGCACTATTATGCCTAGGCAAGACTTATCTCCCACTCCCCAGCGACCCCTTCCATAAACCACTGATTTTGTGTTGATAGCCTGACCCCAAAAAGTAATTGAGTTGCTAGAGTTGGCTATAAAGTTTTGAGCCACCACAGTGAAAAGGTGAGCTCTGCAGGGGTGTAAGATTACATTCAGTTTCCGTGGATGATCCCTACCCCGACATGCAGGTCAGTCCTCCAGTTGAACTGAGCCCCCTACCTTCCAGCTTTAGACCACTATTTATGAGTGCTGGGCAGGCTCATGAGTCAGAATGCAGTTTTCTTATATCTCAAACTAAAATATGAAGTGAAATATTATTGCTGGCTGAGGGAAGAACAACACAGCATGACTTGTAAGGTAACAACTGTATGCTATGCTTGTTTGTTTGTTTGGGGGGGGGGGGCAATATTAACATCATATGTGCGCTGTACAAGGTCACTTTCACCGGTGCATACATTGTGCCAGGGCAGACCAATGCACGCATGTGGCACAATCAATATCACTGTTTTTCTCAAGCCAACATTTGGCAGGTGAAGTAGCTATTTTGCAGAATATTGCTCTGGTTCTTTACCATGTTGTATGCATGTATGCTCATTTCAGAACACACAGATGCAGTACTTCAAGTTACAGTAGACTCAGGCCAGTGTTTAGAAAAGGCCTGATGTGTGATGGGTTACATAATTTGGTGTCATTTTACAGGAATGTGCACAGATAACAATCATTGTTAGTTGCAATCCCAAAGATAACACTTTCCACCATTATTGGGGAAGAAAAGCAATAACCACATGGGTGTCACCACCTCTCTGTTCAGAAAGGGGACAACCCCAGCTGCCCTTTCTCCACTGTAGTGTTCCAAATTAATCTAGGAAAGTGCCCATGGTGCAAAATTAATCCAGGGAGGTGACCATGATGCAGATATAAATCCATGCTAATAGAATCCTGATTTCTCCAGTGGCCTCTGCATACAATTATTGGCACTTATCTAATGCCCTTTGGCCCTGAATGTAGAGCCTAATACCCCATTTATCAAGCCTCAGGTACTGCAATGCTGGGTTGACTGCCACCCAGCTTGGTGCTGATTGGCAAGTTTTGAGCTAGGGGGAGGTGGCAGGCAGTGAACTTAAAGCTGGATTGTAGTGGTATGAAAAATATTGACGCCCCTGCTATCGGAGTGGTCAAATATGGAAACACTGTCACTGTATATCACCACTGATAACAAAAATAAAAACTGCAGGCCATGTTCAAACATGACTTACCCTTCCAGTAGCCTTCTTGTAGCGTGCTGCTGACCGAAGCATGAGGTCACGGACTGACCCATTTCCACTCCCACAGGGAACAACCACTCTAACACCTTTGAAACACACAGTCACTTTCATTGCAGCATTGCTGCTGTGATGCTGACTTGATTTCACTGGTGGCCAGCCACCTTGAGTCTTCCACATTTGCACAACTCAGTGGAATGACTCACTTCCTCATCATTGCCAGCTGATGGTCCACCTATGCCCCCAACACCTGCAAGAAACAAATGCCAGTGAATTTCATATACAACGTTGAATCCAATAGCCACACAAACAACCTCCATAGCTCTAATCTATAGCTTCAATATGCTTCCCCACAAACTATGGGAGTCTGAAACCAACCTGCAACCACCCCAGTCTGCAAAACATACAGCCATGCAACATGGCACTGGTGCTCTGCATGTGGTGCATGCCTACACCAAACTAAGGCCAGGCAAGACTGCTCTCAGTTTTCAAGTTGTTTTGCTTGAATTTGTTTGTAATTTTGTAATTATACTTAAAAAGCTTAGGCATTACAGTTTCTCAAAACTTTGGCTCTCTTAATCTTCAAATTGGTGACAACAGTGACTGAAACTTGGGTGTTTCTTGGTGTTTTTACCCTGTTTTGGTGTTCTGGGCATTTTTAGACACTTTGTTCTCTACTAATATACACTGTAAGGAGATAAAATATTGTTCTCTGTGAGCAGCCTGAGATGAAGGCAAGCTGTTCCGCAGCTCCGCAAAGAAGGCAATTTTGACAATATCACATGCCACACTCACATGACTAAATGAGGGAAACTGCTTGCAGATTTCAGCTGAATCTTTCTACCATATCACATAAAACATTTCCTTTCAATGCACTCTGTGCCCAGGTCCATTGCTGCTCACCAACACACAGAATATCTTGTATAGGTCATGAGTCAACATTTTTGAATTGCACTGTTAAAATCATTATAGCACAATAAAAATGTATATGAAGTACATGCACACTAACATATACCCCTAAACATAGCATGCATTGATCATATATTGTTTAAAAATAGTTTTAATCCTTTTTCAGTAGTATCTTCCTTTAATTTGCACTTCAAGCTATCAAAAATGGAGATTGTATCGATAATATTGACGTCAAAACACCATCCCAAACCCTTGCTTGAGCACGTCGCGATCCACGGCTCCACGAGTCTCCAGCTCTTGAGGAAGATTTAGATTTGGAGAGAAGGCAAATTCTCCACCAAGAAATCCGAGCTGACTATTCGATGAAAATGCATCAAAGGGCGATTAAATAAAAGCACAGATCTTTTTCTTTCATCTAGAGAGCATTGCTACAGAATTATTATCTGAGACTAAAGCTTAGGCAAGGTCTCTTGTTCTCCACTGAGCAGAACTTTCAGCATTTTATTTACACAATAACATGTTTTTTAGATCTACCTTTTATTTCAGCTGGGTTTGCCAATGACTAATTTTCACAAAATCATTAAGGATCTAACCAATCAATACCAAGACCAATCAATAACTTACAACAGCTCTGTCATTGAAGACCGCTATTCTGTGCACACCAATTAAGTAACCTTTCAACGTATTTTATTAGGCACAGCATGCGGAGCTGTGCTAGGCTGTGATAGTGCAATGGGTTGAGAGTATAAATAAAGGCAACATCTAAATTCACCTCACTGTCATACACTGCAAAAAGCATTGTATTAGACTCAACATGGATGAGTACATGTAGCAATGCTATCTTTATACAACTTGCTTGCTCTGTAGGGAGGAAATGATTCCTCTGCCCCTGCTGCATTGAGCCCAACCCCTAATCACTCGGCAGTCTGGCATCCCCGGTGGTGTAGTTTTGTACATAACTTTGAGGAGCAGGTGAGCAGGGAAATCTTTCATCCCAAATAAGTGGTGCAAACTATGTTCTCCCTGATTTTGATGCTCCTATCTATATCCTATCTATATCCTATCATTTTGATCCTTTGATGCTCCTGTCCATATCATTGTGGCTTGCATGACATTTCAATCATAAATTCACCCTCATGTGCCAGGGGGAATTGTGCAACAGGTGCACATAATTTTAAGCATCGATTTCTATCAGCCTTAAGTTGGACTCACACCTTAATAGAATTATCAATATCAACAAATTTATATCAGCTCCAAGTTTCAAAAAACAGCAGGTGTGAGCATACATGTAGGAAGGAAGCACTTACTTAGGAAGCTACAAAATTTAAGAAGTGCAAGCAGCCAACCTCTAATGGTCTTTGGCAATCACTGAGACCAGCTAGAGCATGGTGTTTAGTGTCATCCACCACCAGAAAATGTCCTTCAGTGCCAGCTGTGAATACAGCTCTAGTTCACCTGGGTTATCTTGTTCTCACTACAAGCCATGATTTCAGATTTTTTGTTCTTTCCCAAGAGCCAAAACACAATTTCAGATACTGGCAGTGTCTGAAACCTGGATGTTACCTGGGGTTTTTAGCCCTAAGACATTTTTGCTCCACAAATATAAACTGGAAATAATTTTGATTTTGTACTCCAGGATTGTGACTAGGTAAACTGAAATATTTTGTACTCCATCATGATGCAACAAGAACAGGTTTTGGAAGAACTTATTTTGCCTCTTTGTGTCAGGGCAAACAAAACCAGAAAGTGCAACAGCTTGAGACTTACTGCTTCCATCAGGAGACATGCACTGATATCTGCAAGAGCACAAATCTTGCACCCACCAGACTAAGATGCCCAATAGTTAGCAGCCTGTGTTGCCACCTGGGTAAATAATAAACCATGTATGGAAATGCGAAAAGTAAAGTGTGCGAATGTTGAATGGAATTGCCTTTGAACAATACCGGGAAATGAGAAACGAGCACCAGAATCGCACCGGTCTGTAGATTAGCAAACCTCTCACTTCCTATGTTCTTTGCAGACCAAATCAAACTTGAATATGACAACCTACCGTTGTCGACGAACCGCATTAATTGCCAATGATGCAACGAACATTCATAAAAACAGCACGCCCAACTACCTACCGCAGACGGCCGCCTACCCACGCGCCAGCAGTGTCATGGCAATGCAAATAAGAGATTCGCTCGCAATTGAGCGTCGGAAACGTCTCAACTATTAAGCAGCTTGCACCTGCCCCCCAGCTCACGTTGGAGGTTGAACACAGCAAAACCCTCCAATCAGTTTTAATGATTTGCCTGCCTCCTCGTGACCGATTTGTCAAGAGCATAACTATTATGCTTGCACTCATGCCTTAAACAGATTTGTCAAAATTTGGAGGAAAGCTGTATAGAGATGGACATCGCAATTATGAAGGACTTATTTACACTCATCCAAAACTGCCATGTGGTCAGATTTTTGGCCACTTCCTGGTATTCAGAGAACAAAAATGTCACGACAGTTGTAGATTCGAACCAAGTTAAATTTGTCACTTAAGGCAGTGAAATTAAAGCTGGTAATTCAAGCTATACAAAAATACTCCTTTCAGTCAAAAAACGTTGCTATAAATAGCAAAACAACTGTTCAGAGACAGCCATCTCACTCCAGCAAAAACGCCACAACACCAGTGTAGCATGAACCCATAACTTTGGCATGGTAAATTAAGGCAGTGTGGGAAAAACCTCCGTTTTCTGGTGGATGTGACACCAGGAAATTTTGTACTCCAGGCTCTTGTCAGGAAAGAATGACAATTTTTGTACTCCAGACAAACCCTGCAGTCGCCCCACAAAGCAGACACCATTGCAAATGTATGAGCCTGAGTATAAGTACCAAGGCAGACAGTTTTGCTTTCTTGATAGCCAGGAGGGTGCATGAACTTTGCTTTCATGAAGTGAGTTATAACTTTTATCTGATTTCCAGGGACCAAACATATGGAGCACCAAGAAATGGAGACAAGCATCTGCAATCCTGCAGGAGCTGGCCAATCCAGGGCAGTTCATGTTAATGTCCTTCATCATTGTATTACATGGGTTAGATGCACTTGGACAAGCCTATGCAACTCCTGAATGGTGATGACAACTCATGTGAGTTACTTCTGTGGGAATGAAATAAACTGAAATATGGAATGTGCTTGTTTTAAGTACCTACCGCTGCCACATACCTTGCATGTCATTACCTGTGGGGAAAATATATGGCGCACCTGAATAAGTAAGAAGACCGCATTCTCCACGACGCACACACCCACCGATAACTTTCAAGAAACGGACAAACATATCACGGCTCTGGCTCCTACCACGCGACGAACCCATCGCCTCCCGTACCCGAAACCAGCGGCAGCCCAGCCTCCTGCAACTGACGAGTGCATTTTCGAGCAGTGAAGGTCCGCGTCGCAACAGACACCTACAACAATATTCGTTCGACCAGAAACCACTAGCAGCACCAAAATCACCGCTGGCACATCTCTTTCAACTAGGTCATTCAAAGACTCGCCGAGCAAGAAGTCCAGCATGCCAACTATGCTCTTAACTTACCTCATATTAAGATAACATGCTAGCGATTTTAACAAAGGACGTGCATCTTGCAAACAGTTTGGTGGGAAAATTCCAAAGATTGCAGCATTGCACATCCTTTTCAAAGTGCTTGTTTCATTCCTGCTCCTGCCATACCAGCCACCAATCACCATCCAACTTGCAATTAAACTCAAAATCATAGCATTCAAACATACCACATATCGGCACTTTTGAGATAGAATCATGACATTAAATGGCACCCAAATATCACGTTTGTGGGCGGCACTTTCGGTGGTAACGGCTTCTTTTGGGTTCTTAAATGTCATCGGGAATTACGTTCCCAAAATGGGAGTTTGCGGCATGCAGCATTCCAAAACTTATTACTATTGTATAAATGATAGTAAGTCAACCACTTTTTCAGAAATCGGTAGATGCCGGTTTTTGAATATTCGAGGATATCTTACTTATTTAACAAGGGTATCATGTCTCCAGGCTCAACCAGTACCTATACTTGTAAGATAGAGATGGTCCATAACCCGGTGGGAAAAAATCGCAGTACTTGGTTGCCCTTCTCACAATGGGGCCTATAGGGAGACCCGGGGAGAACAAGCCGGAGTACAAGCCGGAGAACGGCAAGTTTTTAGCAAAGTTAGCCAAATTTAATTGAAAAATTTACGTGTTTTGGTATCGTCCCGATACGGGCCTTCCTCAGAGGGTGTTGAAATGGCATGATATGCCTTAGAATGAGAAATATCTATAGATTTGTAGTACAGGTACTGCATTATCTCGGCGTTGTCTTGCGCCACCAGAAGATAATATATATTTGTAGGTGGAAAATAGCAACTTTAAATGCATGACTGTAAAGCTCTATGATTTTTCTACCGCAAACTTAACAATTTGTGTTACTGCAACTGCATAAATGGTTTTTCTTAGACTATTCATCACAGCCTGTCATTTCAGGACTGACTCGTGGTACTTGTACTTGGTTGCCCATTGACGAGTGCTAGAATGTCATCACAATGTCTGTGAATGCGCCAGAACTCCTGTGCATGGTTTGGTTGTTTGTCTTGATGTGGTGGGAGTGAGGAGGGCAGGAGGGTGAGTGAAGCTGCTTGGGATTATGTGCATCGTAGCTGCGAGTTTGAGGTATTCAGTGAGACAAAGTGGAATTGGTTGTCTTCAATTTTCACACAGCATGTATCCACACTTCTAAAGTTACTTGGGATTCAGTTTTGGACCGCTATTAAGTCATTCCAAAAAAGGTAAATAAATACCTGGGGGACTGATCCATAAATGTTAACCACTGCAGGCTGGTGCAGAATCACCTTGGTATAACCTGCTCTACCTACAGCATGGTGGGTAGGTACGTAGGTACTAAGGTATCTATATACAACATAAATGCTAGGCTTGGGTTTCCCATGTGGGATCAAATATGAGGCTGGCCTCTTTTCAGCTTGTGGTTATAATTGCTGTAACCTGACAGGAGGCAATGCTGCCATGTTCCTTGCTGTCAGGCATAAGGTCTTGCAGTGACAGTATTAAAACTGTCCCTACATAAGATCATAGGGAACTTGGAGAAGAGGAGAGGGATAACAGGAGGTGCAGGAAGAGAGGAGGAGTGGAAGTGGAGGAGAAGTGGAAGGAGAAAAGTGACAGAAAGAGAAGGTGAGGAACTGAAAGAGGAGAAGAGCAGAAAGAGAAGGATAGGAAGAGGAACACTTTTGGTATGTTTATATTAATTATGTTAAGGCCAAAAGGACAACATGTTAGTGATGTCACATACATAAGGCTTTCATAGACAGTTGCATCTGCCTAAGACTCATTAAAAAACCAGGGTGTGATGCACAATGGTTGTCTGCAACTTAGTTTGTCAGTAAGCAGAGGATGCACCTGATTTATCATTTCGATATTGTGTGAGTTTGCATGTAGATAGGTAATGATAAGTAACTGAGCTTTGTATGATGCACCTGTGAATGCATATGTATAAAGTTTTGTTGTTAACCTCTCAACTGTATATTGCTTATTAGCATGTACCATTAAGCAATCTTTGCATGTATAGGTGAGCTAGTAGCACTACAGAGATATGGATGGGATCAGTGTGGCACCCTCACTCACAAGAAGTGCTCTGTTCCACGGAAACGCAAAATTGCATGCTGACACTAATTTTTGCCAGAAAAACATTGGGAAAATGTTGACCCATTAAAGGCAGTATGTGATGTACTCCAAGCAAGGCCCATTGTGCAGACACTATTAGACAGACCTTTGCTTGCAGGCAAGTTTGTACTCCGACCACAAAAATTTTTGTACTCAGCCACCAGCAAAAAAAACTAAATTTCTCACCCTGAATTAAGGAGAAAGGTTTATTAGGACAAAAACAGCAATTCATTACAACCTAAATTATCATATCTTGCAATATTGGTTAAAGTGCATCAAAATCCATGAAGACCTTGTATTATCCAGCAAAGTCAGTGGAGTGTCTGACTCTGATCCCTTTTGGCTGGCCTGCACAGGTCTGTCAGGCATTGTACTTGCGCTGGCTTCGGTGGTACATCAGTTAAGAGTGCTGCCTGTCTCTGTAGTTCGGGTGAGACATGCAGGGCCTTGTGTGTTGACTGGGAGTGGGAAGGTGGAGGACATGAATGTTTAGCTGTTTTTAAAACCAGTTAGCTGGTGGAGCATGAGTAGCGTGACTGTGTTGGAGCACGAGTAGCGTGATCATAGTGAAGCATGAGTAGGTGGCCATCTGCAGCATGTTCATTTGCATTTTTTCGACATTTTTGTCTGGCTGTGCATATCATACCCACCCCCCATTTTGGAGGGTGTAAAGCCTGATGCGTAGCCACCCTCCATTTTGGAGGGTGTACGAGCCTGATGCATAATTACCCTCCATTTTGGAGTGTATACACAGAGCATTTCATAAGTTGCAAACCAATGTATATGCACACATGTTTCATAGCACAGGGTTTGAGACTGTGTTGTTTCAGTGTGTCATGTTTAATACTGATGTTTCCTTTCATTGAAAGTGCTGTTACATGAATTGCTGTACATGAAAAGTGGTACTTTTGTTGAGTGCCACCCATAGTACTATTATCCCTCAAAGATGACCTAAATAAACCTGTAATGACCTGCAGCACTTGGATAATTTTGTACTCAATTAGAGAAAATTTGCACTCTGCTACCAGGAAAATTTTTGGAATTTCCAATACTGATTAAGTATATCTAGGTCAGTAAAACCCTAGGCAGATATCACATTGCTCCAGAATCTTTCCCTTACATGGGAAAGATTGTACTATAGCTAGAACATAGCCACAATAACTATGATGCCCCAGATGCTCTTATTTTTCTTGTGGCTTGCATAACATTTCAATCATAAACTTGTCATAATGTGCTCATGGGAAATGATGCAACAGGTGCACCATACTTTGAGCAATGGTTTCTATCAGCCTGAATTGGAATTAACACTTTTGCTACAGAACTATCAAAACCAACAATTTTCTATCACCTCCATAGCTTCAAAAAATATAGCAGGTGTGACCAAAGGCTTATGAAGGAAGCACCTACTTAGGAAGCTAGAAAATTTAAGAACTGCAAGCAGCTGATCTCTAATGACCTCTAATGGTCTCCTAAATCTCTAAAGTCTCTAATGGCAATCATTGAGACCACCTAAAGCATGGTGTTTACTGTCATCTGCAGCCAAAAAAGTCATTTAGCATCAGCCATGAATTCAGCATAAATTCACTTGGGTGATTTTATTCTCACTTGAAGCTGAGATTGCAGCAAATTGTTGTTCTCTCCCCAGGAGCCAAAACCAAATTTCAAATATTGGATATTGGGTGGCAGCCTATTACAAAATTCAGGGCACTGAGATTTGTGGCAGTGGTGTGTGGTTACCGATTGTGCTAAAATGATTCCCAGGACATCATTCCTACACTTCAATCATCTGGACATGTTCCAAATAACAAAAATCAAAATGCAGCCTGCCCCCACACCTCCACATTCACTGCAACTGTTCCATGGCGCCACATTTGTCGCAAAGGTATGTACTCATCACCTCACACCCAGCACTTGTTTACCACTTACATATGTGCCGGCCGAACATCCATTGATCTTGCACGTAAACTCTGACACCTCACGCCACCCTCCCCCATCTCCTCCCCACGTTTCACATCTTCCAACCCCACGCGCCCCAACCACCTCCCCCGCATAACCATCCCGCACACCGATTCCAACGGTAAGGTCAAGGCTCAGTACTTTAGGCAAAGTCACCAAGCCGTTTCTTTCTCCCCTTTTCCATCCTCCGCATGACATCACTGGGATTCGCTATGGCAGTTGGCTGTAGCGGCCACTGAATTGGCGCCCTAGCTGTCGGCATTTAACGGTGAAGTTAGTGATTTAGCAGTTTATTTATCAGTTTGCTTAGCGACGAGTTCCGATTTCGCCAAAAACTTGTAGAATTGTCAATTGTGACACGAGAAGAGCCAATCTGACGTCTACAATGTCTCGTCACCTTCAAGGTCAAGTGCAGGGTTATGTGAAGGGAACCTCTGATCAATCGAAAGTTTTGGCTACTTTTTTCTAAGCATCAGAATTAACCTACGCATGAACCAGCGTCCGTGAAATGGTCCTGCCCGTTCGAGGTCACCCTTTCAAGATCAATTTTAGGATCAAAGAACGGAAATTTTCTAGTCATTCAAAATATTCTACCGATAGTCCTGACCTATGAAAGTCCTACTCCAAGGTCAAGTTAAGGCTCAGATGTTGAATGACTCAATATTTCTTAAAGGCTGCTAGTCGACTTCGAATTTTAAGCATTACTCACCAACGTCCCAGCCAGCATGTCCAACTGGGACCTATGTGAGTCCGAGATGGGCAGTCATATTGGGCCCACCAGGGCTAATATTGCTCGGTTCCATGTGGGCACGTCATGGGTAACCAACTGGGCAGCCCGCCTGGGGTCCTGTATGAGGCTAAACTGGACCCACATGGGGCTACATGGGCTGCCCAATGAAGACACAGTTCGATCCCATGTGGGCGTGTCATGGGATCCCACATGGGCAGCCCACCTAGAGTCCACATGAAGCCAAACTGGAACCCACATGGGGCCCACCTGGGCTGTCCAGTTGGGAACCCACGTTAGCGTAGCTAACTGGATCCCACATGGGCAGCCCACTTAGGGCCCACGTGGGGCCTAATTGTGACCCATATGGGGCCATCTGGGCTACCCAGTTGGGACCCACGTGGGTATGCTCAGCTGGGGCCCACATGAGTATGTCCAGCTGGGACCCATGTAACCAGCCCGGATGGGACCTGCTTTATCAGCCCAGCTGGGCCCCAGTTGGGCTTTCACCGATCTGCCCTTTCAAATTCCATCTGATTGATGGACCGCCGTAATTTCAGGCAGGCTGCTTCGTGTCAACAATCGTAAGCTAGATGAAGGTTTGTGAGAATATTTAAAGAAAGTGATACGATTTGTAAAATGTGAAATATCCGACCGCGGGCCGCGAGCAGTGCTGGCGCCCCCTGGCGGCTGCCGACGGGAGAGAGCGCATTTGGCATTTGGTACGCACTACCGTTGTATTAAACGGCATTGTATTGTATCGAAAAGTGAAAAACGGTCGGTACCGGCTAAATCATTTGTGCTGGCTCGCGCGCACGTGACACTACAAACTACACCACGTGATTGTCCGTTCGATTCCCCATCAACGCATGCTACCCTCGAGTGCATCCGTGCCCTGGGTGCAGCGATGTGGCACAAAATGTGTAAAACTGGGGAAAAGAGCAAAATCCGTCGTCCCAATCTAAAACCATCAATCTATCAACCCGAGTCAAAATCGTGAGAAATGTCAAATATGGACGTTTTGCAGCTCGTTTCACGCCTCTACATGCCCTGGTTTCCCAGATATGGCGCAAAACGTGAAAAAGACCTGGCGTCGGTGCTGGCGGCCTCTGGCGGCTGCCGGCAGGAGAGGGAGCATTTCGCCTGCGCTCTCTGCAATACGGGCGAACATATTTCATGTGACCGGTGATTGATTGTGGTACGTGACGCTATGCTTTGCTCTAAATCTGCGAACCAAACGCAGGTTTAACGCATGTAGTATTAATACGGAATGCGCTGGATGGAGCCTTTTTGAGAAATCTCACACGTGGAGTATTCATCATAAGGCAATAACATATTCACAACAGCGCGTGATTAACCAGTCATTGTACTGTCAGAGCCATGCCATACGAAAGGCCTTGGCTCTGACAGAACATTGCACGGGTCTTCGGTAACGTCGCGCCCGCACTTGAGGGAGTATATCACACCATGTGCACGTTCATTGCACGCCATGTGTGCGAGCGAAAATTTACGCGGATAGTATCCAAAGAAATCCAATCGAATTGATCCATTACCTGTCATACTTATGATTCATTAGCTTATCACAGGCTTATGTGCAGCGACCAGATCCCCTCAACTATGAGCGGAACCGTGTAGCCATACATCATGCATATCTCGGAATTTGTCCCCAGTAAATAGCAGCCACCTGGTGCAACGCTCACAGCAGCATCACCACGTAGTCCCCACCTTCTCTCGTCGCAGAATAATGTCGGAATCCCCGTCGGCACGCCGGAATCCTACATCGGCTCATTACCCCAGCCGCCAGAATCCCTCGTTGGCTCTTAATATTTTGTCGCCGGAATACCCCGTCGGCTCTTAATATTTTGTCACTGAAATCATACATCGGCACGTCGGAATTCCTCATCGGCTCATATGTGCCAGCTTCGCCTTCTGGAGTCGCTACAATAACTCTAACAACGGTACCCTCAGTGACCGAATTCACTGCCGCTGCTCAGGGTCAGTTACTCATGGTCATCTTAGCAGACCCCTTCCTGTGGCCGCGTGTCAATCTACCAACGGAAAAATTAACCAACTTGTCCGACAGCCCAACGCCTTTTTCCGACTTCCACTTTATGGAAGTCGCAGGAGAGCAGCTGAAAAGCGAGTCTCACGTTCTGCAAGTCACGAATCCACCAACGGTACCGTACACGTGCTATTGCTATTCCCACCAGCGGCCAGCGACGTGCAAAAATGTGTCTCGCCTCATCTCTGCGCCGCGGAGAGATCAACTAACAGCTAATTCCATAATTTCTGTAGGGAGTGGGAGTTTCAACCCACGGCTTGACAGCCGTCCACGTACTACGTAAGACTTTCTCCATCGTTTCCCGCGAAGAGTCATAACGCAAAACACCTGTGACGCATTTAGCCCGTGGCGGCAAAAAGCCTTTCATTAAACTCGTGGCAATTTGCAGTCGCTCCAAGCTGCCCGCAGTATATGAGCTATGCGAGATAATTGATTTGACGTACAAACGTAGGTCTGACCACGACGCATCCGCTCTCATGACAAAGATTCAGGACGCACATCCTTCAATGATCTGGTATTTTCCTACAGACTGCCCAATAAAGCGCATTTAAAAATACTGGGCAGGGGTTGGCTCGTTACATAGCAGCATACACTAGCCACATATTTACATATTAGAAATGTTAATTGCTGCGATGCGATGTAAGCACGAAATGAATGCACGATATATAACGAATCAGAATTTAGTGCGAGCACGTAATCTCAAAAGACCTATAGGACGCGCATTCCTAATTATATAACAGGACAAAAAGTGGCCGGGAATCTCAGAATCACCGAAAGGTCGGCGATTCCTCCGCTGGGCCTACATTTTGCCGAGGTGAAGGCGCCGAGTGTTCAGCCGTCGACGCGCCAGGCCGGTAGGGCTCCCACACCGTGCCAGTCTCACTGTCAGAACGTTTCCTCGTACTCTTTGAACGTGCCCTCTGACCTGGTTGATCGTGTACTGGTTGAACGTGTCCTACCCCGATGAGGTCGGTGTTTTTAAAGGGCCGCCCCCTGTTGATTGTCCTGGCGCACATGTCCGGAATGAGCACTCGGGCCAAACGTAATAAACAAAAACGTAACCGCACATTGGAAAAAAAACAGCATGTGGCCCGCGGCGGATGGATGCGCCACGCGCCACAGGACGCTGTGCCTTCCGTTGCTGCCGTTGTCAGCGCGGTGTTTCCTGCCGCCGTTCCAGTCTCTCCCGCCGAAACCATTCTCTTGGTACCTATGCCGTTTTGTTGCGGGAGACACCGTAGCGCGGTGGGTGACCCCTGAAAATGGCGATATTGAGTACCTCAGATCATTACCTCATGACCTGAGAGATGATGATTTTTCATGCACGCAGATTTTGGTACCGAAAGAACTGATTTTATCTTAAGTCTTTTACCAAAGTTGATAATAATGAGAGCAGCCATGTCGAATAGCAGCGCAGAAATGCAATACATATGCACTATCTCGGAGTACTTGCATGGGAAATATTTACGTGAGGCCACTTACATGGAGTACTTGCGTGAACCGAACTGGGATAGTCTCCCTGCGGTTACAACAAAGACATCAAACTATTAATGTTGTCATTTATCAGTGTAATCAAGCAAAACGTTTATATTTTTAGAAAGGAGTGGAGTATTGTATTTCGTGTTGCCAGGACGATGCCAAGCTTATCATTGCCATTATTGGAAAGACTGGAGTATAGTAGCTGCCAGTTGTTTATACGGGAATACGATATTGTCTCGATGAATCATTTTTTCGACCGGCTGCTTTCCGATCCACACTCATTTAGGGGTGGGTTTGGGTCGCTTTAGACACTTGCTCTTTGCACCTGCAATGGATGGCCTGCGGCTGATGGCAACAAAAGCAGTCGCCAATGATTAATAGGTGCATTTGTTACACAATGTCTGAAATAAAGAATGAAGCAGCAAAGTCGGGGGCAAAAACTGCCGGTCCAGTTTTTAAAAAAATGCTGCCGTTTCTATCTTATGTCACGATTCCAACGTCACGCTGAGCACTATGAGCTTATATGGCATAAAACCTGCTTTCCTAATCACGATGATTCTGGAGTCGTACCAGTTGTCTTTGACGGAAGTCGCTGATTGCTGTATCAGCTTGCTAGCAGACATAATGTTTCCGGGCGACCAGCGGCAGTCCTCAAGCAGTCCTCCAGAGCAGAGCAGCCACAGTTTTTAGCAGCAGCTCAGCAGTTCAACAGCAGAGCATTTCTTCAGCTAACCAAGGGCTAGACTTGATGCACATCCCTCCCCATCGAAATCCGCAACAGCGAACTTCATTCTGCCGGAATAACACGCAAAAAAAGGACGTGAACC